GTGCATGTTACCGTTCTGCGGAACATCTGGATCGCTGAGGGGGAGCCTCAATCGACCATTCCTGTCCACCGAACTAATCCGCAGAGACTCCTCGCCCCCTGTTCCGAGCAGGACTAGCCGATAATGTATTTTCTGTATCATGAAATCATGAATTCTCTCCATTTGAAGGGACAAAGATGTCGACGGTCGCTAGAGCGCTTCTCGCCTGTTCCGACATCGAGGGACGATGTTTCCCCCGATATATGACCCTACATGGGAGCTTCCGATCGAAGTTGAGCTATTATAAGTTTCGCGGAATAATAATTCGAGGCTTCTAGATGGTTGCCTATGACGCGCCGCACCCGCTCCTTCCGTCGTCATGATGATATTGCACGTACCACGTCACTCAATCAGCTTGACGTCCGATGCCGATAGTACGCGTCAATGGAAACAGACGGTGAACTCCACATTGCGAGGCGCCGGATACATATTAATTATTATTATTCATGGACAATATCTCCAATTAGATCTCCGCGTTCTAAAAACGGCGATCAGCGTCCTTGTCCGCAAGTCTATAATGTTTAGAACGGTATAAGCATCATTCTTGGATCATAAACTTTCTGATGTTGGATGCGAGTGTAGAAAGGGTGTTGTATCTTTGTTCCCCGATGTGGCCGAGGAGCGAGAGTCGCATCGACGAGGGTGAGCGGGAAGAATATTCGCATCATCAACTTACTATGGAGGTTTGCCGTGGTGCGCGTCGTATCAATTCCTGCGATGGTTTCCGAGAGCATAACGCTTTTATTCCCGGAACAAATCTCAATATAGCTCCAGATTTCGCCTGGCTTCGCACAGGAAGCATCACTACCGCGCACTCCCGATTTCTCGACTCATAGGCATCATGAGTCGAGAAATCGGATTCCAGGCAGTGGTCGGCGTCACCGACTACATCAAGACCCGATTTAAGGCGGCTCCATCGCAGGGAATGTGTTCCAATTTCTCGCGAAGGCTCCCGCTTGTATTGCTCGTATAGCGCAGCTATCCAGCACTGAGACGCTAGAGTACAAAAGGAGCGAATCCGAGGAGAGAGAGGACAAAAGGATAGCTCGCGCGCCCCACACAAGCCAGTTTCGCGAAAGCCCCTGCAGGGCACAATGGCGTTGGGGGAGGAGGCGGCTTTTCTTATGGAAACACTCCCGATAGAAGAGCCATCGTATTCCCGCCGAAGATGAATAGCTACTTTCCCCCAATCACAGGTGTTAGGCCCCTCTTGGGAGCTGGAAAGGATCGGAACTTCCTCGATCAAACACAATCAAACATTAGAAAGTCCGAAAGATCGCTAGTAGGATCACCGGCTGCACTCGTTTCAAATCGGATCGGAGGAATGAGCTGCTGTATAAATCGTCTTGACGATTCTGAATCTCCAGATATCATTCAAACCAGCGACAATCTAACGGCCAATAGTGAATCAAGTTCAGGAGTGCGAGATTCTCGGGGGGAAGAGTTATCGAGACGACGACGGCGCGCCATACAAGAAGTATCCCCTGTTTGAGCATATCTAACGTTCCGTATCGATCGGATACATTGATTTCTCTTACCTCCTCGGCCCAAGGCCTGAACCCGTTGGACTACGAGCTCGTGTATGCTAGTTTGGAGGGGATCGACGGTAATGCAAAAAAAGATCTTGGAGCTCCGAAACTGACGTCTTCTCCGGACGCCCCGCTATCCCTTCCGACCGAAAGTCTGACGGACGTGCCGTGTAGCAGGAGTGCGCAGCGCTAAGCGTGCCGGGCATTCGGATATCGGGAACAGGGAACGAAGCGCTTGAGGAATCGGACTGAGACTTCCATAGCTCGCTTCTGCACGCGCTCAGGATCCAGGCAGGCCCATAGGGACCGTTTAGGCTTGAGTACTCGCGGCGTTGTACTACACACCCCAATCTCACACGGTTTCGGCAAGCCTAGCAAGTCGCTGAAGGCTGGCAAGGGTCGGTTGAACAAGGGGGTGGGGGCACCAGACTTCCTCCCGCATGTCCGAGAGCGCCCTCAGGGGGTCCGCAGAGGCCGTTTCGCTTGCTGACTCCGCCGTCCACGGCCAGAATTTCCACTCTGAGCCCGATGAATAATTTACTCTAAAACGTACTGGATCGGTTGGCCGGCTTTCACGGCGATTCGGCTGCGTGCGCGGTCTTACTGTCAATGAACGACGGTGGCCGTGGTCATGGGCAAACTCGTCGTCCGCCGCGATGCGTCAGTTCCAACGAAGGGCCCACGGAGCGTGATGACGACGTAGAGCATCTGACGTATACAATGCGTTTTTTTTTCCGATATAAATACCGCGTCCATGTGGAGCTACGGGGACCGAACGGGATACTCTTACAAGCTCGAATTACTATAGGATACCTGCGCGATTGGATCCCCGAAGAGACGACGGACGGAAAACCAACGAGTCCTCAATGCCAATGGTATCATGTGGTCTCGGTTCTGCGCAGAATATTAATTCGCTTACGTGAAGGTTAGAGTTTTTACGACTGCCGGAAATCTCGGCTTACGCCCGGCTTGTCATCATCATCATCACCGTCGTCGTCGTCGCAGTGCGGCCCGAAGTGGTGACTCGCGGAACTTTCTCGGACCTCTCTGCGGCTCAACATGCTCATAACTCATCAGCTCCGGACTGAAATTTCGCGGCGCAGCTTCATTAACATTTTTGGATTTTCTGCACAGTCCCGTAACTTCATGCATTCTGAGCAGGCGCGACACAAAGTATCCGGAAACCGTCTCGTCATGGCGGAATCTATCCTTGATGATTAGAGTTCTGTTTGTCAGACGAACAACTCATTCATTGGAGCAGCCGGGAACTACCGTCGGCCCAGCTACGCATCTACGCTACAATCAACCCGGGTCGAGTATCAAGTTCCGAGAGGAGAGCTTGACGGGAAAGCGCTCCTCGTCTCGCCTTGACACTCCCCGGGCGAGGAATTCCGACGGAATATGCGGACTATTCGGCTCCGACTCGCTCAGTCGTCTGACTGCGAGCCAATCTTCTCGGTGAATACGTCCTATTTCCGCCGTTCACGCTTAGAGCTCGCGCCAGGGAGATTCCCTCCTGTGGAGACCGCCGTTGTCGCTGACTGACTGGCAGAGTCTAATCGGCTTTAGGGCTTGCGAACACTTACCCGCTTGAGGCGTCCCGCGCGGATTCTTGTGGAACGCGCCAAGAGACACCAACAACCGTGCTACCTCGAAATTAACCGTTCCCAACGAAAGGGACAAACATCCGACTCCCGAGAGAGCTGATCAGTGCACGCTTACTAGCTGGATTATACGAGCACGGATCGGGATAGCATCATGGATTCGCGGAGAGAACTGCCGGAAAACTCGACCGACAATATGAGCGGAGTTCCCGTCATTAGGATCCTTTCGGGAGCAGGAGAATTCTTCAACGTTCAAAGAGGAAGTTCGAGAGCGGGATTTCCGCTCCTCGTCGGCGTCCAGATCGCGGGCTTGTTGAGCACGCGAACGTTCCCGTGAGCGAGCGAGAACGATGCGCCGAATCGGCGTCACAGAAGGGGCTACGGGGAACTCGCGTCAGCATTCGCGAGGGATCCCGTTCAGTCGAAGCGAGACTTTGTTCAACTCGGTTGAAGGATGAAGATGGTTATTCCGCAACGGCAGATGGAACGAGTCTCACGCCAAAACAGGAGATCGGGGCTTGGAACTGGCCGGATCTGGATGGGCTTCGTAAGCCACTGCCGCGCATGCTTACCTCGTCGCATTACCGGTTCCGCTCAGGACTCAACGAGGATTAAACTCGTTAGCTCTCGATAATAATCAATCCGCTATATGGTATTCCTCTCCACATATTTGCACATTCACACCGCGGTGGAATTCTAGAGACTTAAAGAGCCGGGGAACTCGCCGGGCTGAGGCAGCCATTTCAGCCTTCTGCGCTTGAAATCCCTAGGCGCTCGGTAACCTTCAGATTTGGGAACTTTTGACGCAAAGTTCAAGAGAAGCGAGGAGGGAGAGAAAAGCAGAGAAACTTTGAAGACGTCTGTTGTGGAGGTGGTCGCGCTCGCACTGAGCGAGTGGGTTCAGTCTCCGACCATACAACCCGTACGATGCGAACTCCGGCTCCGCTCAGCAGCGTCTGGAGGACTCGTATCGCCCGGAGATAACTAAGTATCCAGAGAGGTAATTGTATTGTGACGCGAAAGTGGCCGCGGAGCAATCCGATTGTTTCGCTCCGAGCACCGACCCACCCCGACAGAGCACTACCCGGATATTCGCCGCAGCCAATTGAGTCCTTCCCATGCAGAAAATTAGAGTTCTGAGTGAGAGCTAATTTCACAGCATAAGTCTCTATAGATTCCTCGGGAGAGGGGTAATCGCATTATCTTCTGACCTTCGCGTCACGTTCGGATTCACTTTAGCTCGCGCTGGAGTTACACCGACTCGGATGTCGGTTATATTGCTCCTGGAATCCTTACCGCACTTTCGAGGTTTTGAGGGGGGACGAGCTCTTATTACTCCACACTCTGGAGCGGGCGAAGAAATAATTTCCTCTGCCTCGAGAGCTCTAACCAGAAGAACTCTCCGCTGTTGGTTGTTGGTCGAGTCCCGAGTGCCGACGCAAGTGTACTGTGGAATCATGGTCTGAGCATCTGGGCGATGGAAGGACCTGCTCCACCGACGATCACGTCTGCGTTAGCTACAGTGTCGTAGAGTTCCCTCTTCTGCGGAAAGAAAGTACACAAAACAAAAGTCCGCCCTTCGCAGTCGTCGAAGCCCTCGAGATTACGCTGAGAACTCGACCTGATTCTCCGTCTCCGAGTTCGGGATGCTCACTCAGAGGTCGTAAACACATCGGCGACGATGCGGCTCCGAGCACTGCTGCCTTCCTTGGGATAAGTGATGATCGAGCGGAACGATTTGCTCCTCGTCGACGGCCCAAAATGAGCTCCGTCGCTCTTCTCAAAATTGAAACATCTGCGAATGTTCTGAGATCTTTATTCATTCATTGGATGAATTTATACAACCCGTATCGATTCGAGGATGCGATCCATTTGTACGCTTTGGGTCTAATGTCTCTGGCTGCCGTTTCCCCCTGGGATCTTCCGTATGACAGAACCAGACCGATATCACGTTGTGAGGTTGACGTCGAACGCGTGTAGTCAGCCACTGGTTCGCTAACACCGAAACTGTTTCGAGCGTTCAATCGAAATTTTCTCTTCTTCGATGGCGAGTCTCCGCTGTTTGATGGAGAGTTCTTTCTCTTTCAATTCCACCCATTTCCTGAAATTGCACGAGAAGTCTAACTTTCTCCGACCCCAAAATCCATCGTTGCTCTCAGAGAAGGGGAGGAGGGTCGATCTCAAGAAGTACAGTTCCCCTCAAGGTAACAGCTGGGAGATCTCCCTGAGGGAGCCTCTCGCCGCAGCTGCTCCTTGTGGCGCTCGAGAACTCCCAGGGAAAACTACTTCGAACGAGGTCTCATCCACTCCTCCGGGAAGCATTCGGCGTACGTAATTCGATTCTCTCGTTCATGAGCGCCAGCCTAAGTAAGACTAAACAGCGAATCGAATTCGGATCGTTCGGCTGAATACGAATCGATTCAGACGAAATACACTCGTTATCCGGAACAAACGATGATGAGGAACTATGAATTTCCAATGATGTCGATGCGCCGTCGCTTGCGCGGAGAAAATCATTATCATGCAATTCGCTGCGAGAATCGGGACGAGGATCAGAACGATTTGCGCGGTTGTATCGGGATGGGCGGGCGAAATCACGACGACCGGTTCCTGTTAGCGATAGAAAGCCCCTAAACCATCGCTTACTTGAAGTGTTCCTCCTTCTGCTTTCGGTCCTTCTCTGCTTCGTCGCGGAGAAGCTCCGTCCGAGATTGATAGGCTTTCAGCATGCGTTTGGCAGCAACTCCGTTCTGCTTCATGGTGAGAACAATTCCTGGAGAACGTCAGTAAAAAAACTTAATCTCGCCCGTCCGACACGGCTCAATCTCGCTTAATTGATAGTCGTCCCGTTTAATAGTTTTCTGCGCGTTCGAGCCGAGATCTATACCCATGGAGGCGCCCTGTTTTCGCCCGCGCAGCCTGCGATCGTAGGATTTCCGCTAGCCTTCGAATAGCCGAGTCAAAAGTCCAGGCACCTTCATTTGACGGTGAGCCCAGACATCGTTCTGCGTCGAGCTTGGTCCGCTTCCGTGGCCGCCTCCAGTGGCTTCCCAGACATCGGGAACTGATTCATCAATAATCTTGATCGATAATAGACCCGCGTATGTGGAGCAAGGGGGCACAGAAACAGAGCTCGTGCGAGTCACAATTGACACCGATTCAATTGGGAACGCGCTCAATAGAGTCCATTAGAATGTTGGCATCGGAAGCAGAACCTTGGAGACCAACAAGCGTGATCCCCTCGCCAGCGGTTGAGTCAACGGGAAAGTCACGTCCGAAATGTCACGGACAGCTTGCACGACGAACAGATTCCAATTTCCGCCACCTACGTCGGCCGGGGTGACCGATAGTTTCATTGCTGAGCCCACCACGACGGTTTCGCTTCCAGCGAGATGTTTCGCGAGAGCCGCATCGCTCCCGATCAAGACCGACAAGTATATCCTGCATGGAATTTTCAATGGAAGTCGTCGAATTTCCATGGCTCCCGAACGACCGGGGGAGAACAATGTCATCGATGAGCTGAATAAATTGTCCTTGCAAACAGGATCAGGGAGCAGGAAGGTACTCCAGGAGAATAGGAATATACTGAGGAAACGACCGGAGGATATTCTCGAATAGGAGGAGAAGTAATCAGAAGAGACCCCGAGGGAGATCGGACGAAGTACTTCAATGGACTCGTCCAAGCGGCATGCTCCGCTCAACAAGGCCCGAGGTGTTCCTCGAAATCCATTCGATCTCTGTTCGACCTCCCTCTCGGTAAATCATCCACCTTGGGATATTGTGATGACTACCTTCCGATCCGACGGAGTGGAAGTTTCGTTGAACGCATCAGAGATATGGTTGACTACCGCTCCGGAGTTCGATTGAGTCGCACGGAAGCCTCTGAGGGTCATCATGACGGCGCCGGCGCTCGACATGCTCAGCGACTCGAGAGCCTACCTCTCGAGATCCGCGTTTTCTCATTTCCTCCTCGTCCACTTGACTCGTGAAACAGGAAGTCGACGGAATTCCCACCAGGAATAAATCGAGAAACGACGATTGAAACATCTTCTCGTTGCCATCTTGACAAAAGCTTCGAGAGAGACCATTCAATCCGAGATGAGCCAGGCAGCGTGAAGGCCGTCCCTTCGATTTATCGGTACCAACAATGCTCGGATGCTACCGCGATCGACCAGGGGTGAAGGGCGCTCACCCATTCAGATTTCGCGAGACCGACAACAACGACGGTATCGGGGGCGATCGTCTGCGAGAACAAGATTCGTCTTGATCGACCGAGGAGTCGGTGGGCACAATTCGAGCCTCCAAAATTCCTCCCAATATTAGGCCGAAACAACGCGCTCTCAATCGAGCGTGGCGATTGCCGCGGTCAAAGGCGGAGGAGGGGGAACCCTGGGTGGCTTCTAAAGGTACCCTTGCTTGCGCGTACGATGCCGCACGGTACGCTGGTTTCTCGGATGCTCGGCCTTCGCTTCATAGAATAGACGTAGCGACGCAGTGAGACGTCGGCGAGTTTGAAGTCCTTTTCGGAGATCGAAATGGGACGACGATCCGATTCCCCGTTTTAGCGCTGATCGTCTCTCAGGAGGATTTTCACGATACCGACAGGATATTCTCTAACGGAAGCGATCGAAGAAATCGAGACCTCTCCTTACGAGGAACGTTCCGTGGTCCATTTGCAGAGCAGCTCAAATGTGGATGACACGCGGGGGAATTCCGCACTCTCAATGGAGCGCTGTGATATCTGACACTCTCAATCGGAGAAATCTCAGGTTTCCAGAGATGTCTGAATTCAATTTCGGATCCATAGAGACGGGAATTTCCTCTTCTCTCGAAGGATGGTAGCCGCCCGATGAACCATACGCCGACAGTATTACCCTGGAACGAACGACTCGTCGATGCTCAATTGCACGCAGAAAATTATCGGCCCGGACTCCGACCCTTCAGCCATCGGCTTTCTCTCTCGGAGGGGGCCGGTGCTCGAGCGAGGAGTTCGGTAACGTAAAAACAGCACGGTTCGGAGGCGCTGTCAGTCGTCGAGGCTCATGTCCATGAGCCATGGGGAGGACGAACGTTGAGACGATCGATACAATCGATAGGCTTGCCATTTCGAGCATCAGTTGCGAACCCCTGTCTGACCACTTCAGCGACATGCCAAGCGATCGACGACGCAGACTCGGCGATACTATGCCGCAAGTGAATCTCATTAGTACAGCCGAACAGTAATGACACGAGCTCGTCCTATCGCGAGCTTCGCGGCTGGCTGCCCGCCCGTCTGCAACTGCTGATAAGGGTTTTGCGTCTTCCATTCAGCAGGCTTTTAATGATGTTCGAGAAAGTATGATAGATCCAGCGGTTGCGGGCCCCGGATCGCCGACGTGGATAGCTCGATGAGGAATACTCACCTTCGACCGGAGTCAGCTTCCTGGTTCTCAAGGCGGATAGAGCGCAATCGATGAAATAAAATTCAGAGCCCGGCGAGACTCCTGCCTCGCCCCAGGCATTGGCACTTTCTGCGGTCTGCTCCGCATCCAGCGACGGCGGAGCTGCTTCCATCTGATCGGCTCTCGATCGGGTTGTTGACGGAGTCAACATCTGACGAGACGATACACGCATATTTAACATTCACCAATCGAGCGGTGCTCTGTAGACCGCATGGCGGCTGCAGATCCCCGCGGGGCTGAATTCACCCACCTCCTTGCGAAAATTCTCGTCCATAGTCTCTAGCTGATCGAAGTACTTTGCATATGCGAAGCTGCGGGTGCCCCCACTGTTGTCTTCATACTTGACTTTCTTGTGCATTTTTTTCAAGCGATTGAATTTGTCCTGCGGAACGTCATGAACGTCAGACGAGACTCGGTCGCAAAAGTCTCACACACGACTCCTGTGGTTCGATATTAGGGCTCACCTGAACCTGTTTCGATGTCAGACTGTGGTTGATTTCTACGGCAATGGCACTGAACAGCTCCTTGAGGGTGTCGTATTTGCCCCGTGACCCCATTTGCGGCCAGAAGGTCAAATACAACTGCAGCATCTTTTCGATATCGATCCTCGTCCAGTCTGTTCGAGAAAGCTTTGGATGACATTCCCGATTATCGGATAATTAATTAATGTTCCAAGAGAAGTACTGCGGATAATTCACTCAACGATAATCGTCTTTAGCCGAGGGGCCTTCCTCCTCGACGAGGTGCTCCGGAACTCCCGTGCGAAAATATTGTCCGGACATTCTCGGGTCTTGGAAATCCCTGATCTGGAAAGGAGTGTGAATCTTTGAGCTCATCATACCCCTTGAATAATTGTGGAGAACGCTCCCTCACAGATATTCTCCTCGGGAGGCCCACCAAACACAAATGTACTCGCTCACGGAGCTCCTGAATCTTCTGAGGCCCTATCCTCAGGGAACTGACTCTTCTTCGACCTCCATGATGATCGTTCCGGGGAGCTCTCTAGGCTTGGAAGTCTGGCTTAGCTTCAAGAGGGCTTCGAAATTGGATTCGGAGACCCGCATTGGTTGTCGAGGAAAGACAATCATCATCAGAAATAATCCATAATTGCTTTTATTCTTTGTATATCGGCGAAAACCATGAAGGCGGCGTCAAAGTATCTCTATTGAGCACATTTATGTACAAGTCACAGGTGTTATCGCTTGTTATTGTATTAAGCATCAATGGGAGCTCATTCGCGCCCCAGATGCTCATCGATTCCTCTTTTTCTCCCGCATAGCTTTCTCCAAGTCAAACTGCCGCAAGTCGGCTCGTTCCAGGAAAGCCATTTTCTCCAGATATCCTCCCTTGCCTCGATTGAATGTCGCAAGCTCTTCATCGATGCCTTCTTGTCGTTTGAAGCCGTTCCAATCGAGTTTTGACTTCTCCAGGACACTCATTTTGTTTTTCTTGTTCAAAATGGAGCCGACTACAGTGCTCAAACCCCCTCCGACTTTAGGTCGGACGAGAACGGTCTTCTGTTCAGACGCCTGTTTTTGCTTTTCTTGATCTGCGAGCAATTTCTTCGCTTCTTTCGAGCCAGCTTCAACCTCTTTCTCGACCTCGATTTTTTCTCCGGCAAAGTCGAATACCTGCGTGATCTTCACTTTGCCCGAGGAGGTGCCTTGAGTGTCTGCATCGGAAGTATTTGCAGATTCTCTCGCGGGCACCTCAGCTCCTGCGCTGCCACTCGATGAGGGCTGGTCAGTTTGCTCCGTCTTGGAATTCGAATATGCTTCCTTCGTCGACTCGGCTTGGGTCTCGGCTTGCAGTTTGGGCTTCTTGGGAATAGGTTCCACGTCGGCCATGAAATCCGCCCATAGAGCATCTGTTCTTTTCTTCTGTTCCTCGCCATCGTCCGAGTTCTCTTCAGCATCCGAGTTTATCTCCTCTGGAACTTCCTCAACTTCACCTTCCGGGGGCACATAATCCTGGTCGTCCGAATCTGAATCGTTGAGCAAGTCACCGGCCAATTGTTCCATTGTGTTCGTAGCGAGGGAAGATCTCACTCAGCTGCGGCGTGAGGGAACGCTGGAGTTGGTCGGTGTCTGTAAGGCATTCAGTTTTTCCTTGTAGTGGAAATAGGTAAGCAGAGGATTCAGTGTCTCTCCCTCTCGTCGTTCGGATCCCACTCAAGGCTTCAGCAGACGAGGATTGTAATACGCCGGAGAATCAAGCCCGTCGAAATGAAGGGCTACTCGGTTGCGTACCGAAAGGTGGATCTTCGATGATACGTCGAGCGACTCCGTTCAGAAACTAAATTCTCCAGCCATCTCCGCTTCTCTATTCCCGAGACAAGCCAAACATTGCAAGTCCAGTGGCACGGCTTCCATCGTAGCCCAGATCGATTATAAATGACTGATATATCTTGACACATTGTGGATCATCACTCTATCTCGCGTCGGATCGATTCACCTTATTTAAGAAGACGGAGAAGTCTTACCGTTTCAACAACAGAAGAACGAAGCTCTTCGAATCACTAACAATGAATTGTGCCGATTGCTGTGCTTTTCGCGGCGTGTATCACTTCACCGCATGCACACCCGTCGTCGGATAGCCAGTAGTTGGTATCTATGAGTGTGAGTCGAGAGAAGAGCGCTTGTGTGTTGTGTTTACACTCTCGCGCCCAATCGCGCTGTTCGTCTGCTAGCGCGCGCTCCCTACTCTACCGCCCGCGCGCCGCGAGCGTAGAGAGGGAGTCGATGAAAGGGCGCCCTCATTCGAAACAGCGGGAGTCACGTTGAAACGAGTAATCCAGCAAGAAACTCGCCGCAACGAAACAAAGCGCTTTTTCCACATTGCTGTCTCCATATTATGGGGTGTCTCCTTATGTCCCCATATCTTCTATTCTGAAGGGCGAAAGCTTTTTAGTTCTATGTAGCCTTGAACTTGGAACGCATCGGCCTCCCGAAAGGAAAACGACTGTGGAATCTTTCCCTAAAGATTTATTCGTGATCGACGGGGAATGTTCCTACCCCATGTGATCGGGAAGGGAAAGGTCGTCTTCAGCCCTCGTTACAGCACTGAGTGAGATCAAAACTCGTCGTGGTTCCAGAGAGCCTCGCCGTAATTGGTCACCTGCCCACCAACGAAGAGATCGTAATGATTCAAGACCTCCGTTTTCGATAGCAGAGTGTCATTGTCCTCGTCCGCTGAGTGAACCAGATGCAGAGCTTCGGCTTCCGGGTGATCGTCCTCAGACCGGTGGGTGTAAGAGATCATCTGCGGCAGGGTCAAAGTATTGAAAAAATTTTCGGAGCCATTCCCACAAGCATGATCACCGTCGTTTCGGAAATACAGACAACGTTCCGACCTCTTCTAGATCCAAACGACCGTCTGAGTTTTTGTCGCGACGGTCCCTGAAGAGCTCGGCTTCTTCTTGGACGTATGTTGGCCAAGGTCCCTCTTGGAGGTCGGGGAAAATGTCTTCGAGATATTCGTGAAGATCAACGAAGCTGGGGAGAGAAAGGGGTAACACCTGCACTTATTGCGTTTCCCTATCGATATCCACCTTAATTTGAGGCTTTGCTCACTTGTCATTATTCGTGTCCAGAGCTTCGAGGGTTTCCTGAGCTACAACTCTGGCCATGTGTTCCTTCTCCTCAGGATAAACGAACGCCTCGAACTCTTCGATATCGAGTTGTTCATCGTTGTCTCTGTCGGCCGCCTTCCATCTCCGCAAGTCCATCTGGATCATTTTGTCCGTTTTCTGTCCTTCAGATCTGTCTTTTTCATGTCTGTCCTGATGAACGAGAGCCATTTCGCATCAAGATATGCAGGAGAAAGGCCAATCTTCATAGGTTCGAATCCAGTCATCAAGAGTCATATAAAGTTTGAGTAGATATGGATTGAGTCCAGAATTGAATACCTCGTCCCAGGAAAGAGGCAGACCGTACATTGATTTCCTATACTCTCTCCAGGTCAGTCGGGTCTTCAGGTGTGGATTGTGTTTTCTCCACTGTTCTTGAGTTCCCTCCTCGAGCTTCTTCCGAGCGATATAGTAAATCCATTCCGATAATTCGTCTTGAGTTAGGAGTCCATTCTCATCCTAAGTTAGAAATCGTCGCTTTACTCGGAGTTACCCACAGTCGGCTCTCACTGTCAGTGATCTTTGGAGCTCCAGCCCGAACGGCGTTCCGTAAGGAGTTTCCGAGGGTCTCATGAGCTCCTACACTGGACTCGAACCAGAGAAGTCTGAGTCGGGCCATCATCCCGATGAGAAAACTCGACCTCATATGGCCCATTGCCCGATCAGAGAGATCGGCGGACAGTCGAGGTATGATGGAAAGATACGGGAAGGTCACCTTATCGATCTTGTCGAATATGGCCGCCAGACGGTTTTTGCTCTCCTCCGGGCTTATGGTGGCGAATGCCTTGACTTCTTCGGCTTTCAGAATGTGATTCGGAGTCTCCGAATCCGACAGGGGAGTTCCCGGACCGAAATGTTTAGGGAGGGCTGCGGTGAAAGTCGCGGAGGCCGCAAATGAAAGAACGAGCTGAAAACTGATTCAATACAAGAGCTCTGAGCTTCTATCTCAGGAGTCGATCCCCGACATCACGGTCATAGTTAAGATAAGAGCTTACCGCATGGTTGAGAACGGTACCCGCGAATGCCAGTGAGTTCCGGAAAGATGTCGGTCGGCACGGACTCTACCATGTGGAAGCGCTTGCCTCCCTTTCCGTCTTTGCTTGGGAGCGAAACATCAAATGCTTGTCTCTGTCGAGAAAAGAAATCATCGCTCGGGATCCGAGCTCCCAGGAATTAGTAGTCTGACAATTGTTCCGAAGTACGGATGCGTCATGGCTACGCGATACGCCGATGTCGCAAGGAGAAAATTCCAAGGCTTGTTCAAGCTTTCAGAGCGAACCTAAACCCTATTATCTCGATACGCGATATTGAGGATTCGTGTAGGGTCAGATGGAATTTCTTCGTTCCCAGGCGCACCGAGAAGAATGCTCGCGGACTCCTCATCGATGAGATGAAGGCCGTAGGAGGGTCGAGCGTCCGGATATTCAATCTGGACAGCCTGAATTGTGCGCTCATCGCGACGACGATCCTCCTGAGCGCTCAAAGAGCTCAACCTCAGAGATGTCAAGAGTATCTAGCCACTTCAATCGGTAAGTTTTGATTTCTTCTCTTAGCCGTACGATCGATGACGCTCAGAGTGATTCCATAGAGGCGCGCTCGCATTGCAGACTGCGATCAGATTGGATTCTTCGGAGCCAAAGTGAACAAATGCGGCTTCTGCACCGGTGGCAACACAGGACTCGAAGACGATTTCGGCAAGGATTGCAAAGGCCTTTGCGGCGGGATGGCGTCCCTTGATTGCATGGGCGTCTGTGGAGGATCCGCCTACCTAGATCCATGTTCTTCCGAATGCATCGGTAAATTCGTAAAACAGCTCTCCGCGAGGGGATCCGCGACCCAAACGTCATTTGCGGAGCTGTCGGTATTCGAAGCTATCAAGTCTTCTTCGTTCTGTTTACAGAGAAGGATGCGGTTCGTACCATTGAATCACAAGTCGCTTCCAGAGATTGTACGGGAGGCTGTCTGGAGCTCGGACCGAAGGCTCCACCTCCTCAATTCGTGAACGATTCATGCGGGGTCTGTCTCAAAGCGGGGGGAAGTAGCAAGGATTCCGCCTTCAAAGATTGTACAGCTACGTGCTACCTGCCGTGTAAGTGCCTCTGACCGGCGAAACAACGCCATTCTAAGTTTCATTCGGAGCAGAGATCCATGAATTTTACCCCGGCGGACAGCAGAGGGATAAGAGGGGCTGGCTTGGCGAATTCTGAATTCCAAACCTCATGACCAGCGACAGTTGCGACACGTAAAATACTGCTCTCACAGGACTTCGTCACGGGTAGTTTGGTCCGTGACAGTCCGTGACCTTGACACGAACGAACTCTGAGAGTTGTAACCTTGCTTCGCTTGATGCTCAGTTCTACGAACTGAAGTGTTGTCGGCCTCGACCGAAGCCACGCTTACAATGAGCGTGACGGCTCCCTGCGTTCGCTGTCCTGTGATGAATTGGGTATTCGGACATGATTCATGTCTTCGATACAATCACGAAGCTGTGATCAGTAATCCCGAGTGATGAGTGTCACTCCCTGGAACCTTACGCATTCTGCGATGACGAAGGACGTAATAGCGGTTGGGTGTTCAGGGTCCGTGCCGCACGCCGCTCGCTGGAGCCGTGATCAGTGAATAATAAAGATAAAGGAGGGAAATTTCTAACTGAAATCTCGAACGATGCTTTACAGCTGAAAAGGCGAAAATGGCCGAGCAAAAATGTGGTCAATGTATTGGCGGGAGCTCACCGAATAAACGCAGCGATTTCGTTGATGGTTGTGGAAACTGCAAGAGCGCGAAGAGCGTCTGCGAATGTGAAAAGTAGGCAACGGAAGATGATAAACTAATTAGAAGCTCCAACCATCGGGTTAGGGCTCGACTAGATTGGCTCATCTTCAAACATTCCAGCGGACTGCTCAAAGATATATGCGGAGTCTGTGGAGGGAAAGCTGGATCTTGCCTCAAAGTCACCGAAATCAAGCCGATCGCCGCACCGGCGGACAAAGCGCTCGAAGTGAGTATTTTCTCCTGAGAGGTCTTATTCGCTGGAAAGCTCCATTAACGATCTCTGTCCTCTCTGCGAGAATCCATCGACTCCGGGCATGCTCGAATCTATGCCCATTCGCCTTCACGTTTCCAGATGACTATGTACGGGGCTTTCAGTGGAGAAGCCCCGTCGGAAATGGTGTGCGTGTTCCGTAACGCGAGCGATCCAGACGCTCACGTCGTCGGCTCACCGTCCCCAGGAGTAGGCAACGGTCACCTGACTCCTGTGAATGGGAAAGTGTCTTTCATGTGCAAAGTCAAGGGTCTCCCTGAGGGCGAATACTTCGTCAATCCACGACTCTCTCGGCTCGGAAAAGAGGAACACCGTAACCTCACCCTACATGTATTCGACTCGAGCAGTGAGTGGTCGGACTCTAATGCGTTGAGCGGAAGGCCGCTTGTTCTCTCTGTCGGGGTCTTCCCCTCGGGGGGAAGGGGGAAGCACCAGCAATTTTCGAGAGCTCAATCCTCGATTGAATTTCAGTTGGTTATGCCAAAATGGAGCCTACCAGCGCTCCTTACCGCAGAATCGAGAACAAGGATGCGTCCAGCATTCGACTGAGATTCTCTGGCGGAAACGTGCCAAAGTATCCCCTCTATTGTCGGATCATGAGCGCAGACAACCCGAAGCAGAAAGTCGTCGTGTATCCGTCTGGAAGCGCTCATCTCCTCAACGAATGCGACATTCCTCTCCCTAGTCAGAGCGAAAACTACATCGTCTTTCCATCGCTGGACGGTCTCAACCCGATGAGCACTAATTTCACTTTCTCATTCTACGCGACCCGCCCGCTGATAAAGCAGTCGTACATGCACTCAGACGGTAGGCGCCTGATATTCATGAAGTAGGTGAAAATCCACAAGGAATTCTATTTGAGTAGCAAACGAGGTCGAATCGTCTCGGATTACAGGGAGCGCCGCCATAGTGATCTTCGACCGAGAAGTGAACATCGCGCCTCTCGCGAGCTGCGAGGATATATTAACAGCAGAGACCCTAAAAGCCTTGGGCGGATCGGATTACCTCAGATGCCGATGGGCGACTAAGCATCAATTGGTCGTATTCCTACCCAAGAGAGAAAAGAGTAAAGTTCGTCCCTTGAGGCTTTGATTCAGACATCCATTCGCCAAGAGCGATGAGGTGAAACCCGGCTCTGGCCTCGTATTCCCGAAGGCTGATCCATCTCTGTTTGCAGACTCCGTTCGATTAATTCTACAGTCGAGCAATTTCACGGAAGACGGCCAAAAGGTCGTTCAAGACATCGGAGATGACTTGGTATGTGGTGGACGTGAGTTGGATTTCCAATCTGTTTCGGAGCTTCCTTCCAACGAAAAGCTAACTCAATTCCAGAAAACTGAAGCAAAGGCCACCGAAGTGAAAGACTCTCCGATTTACGTCGCCATTACCGGACCGGACGTGATACCGTATTGCGGGGATTTCGAACTCTTCGCCCATTATTCCTGGGCGAACGGGGTCCCCGAGGCCTTCCAATGGTCGGCGACGAGAAACGATTCCCTGAAAATCAACGACAAAGATCCTCTGGGAGCGGTGCTAAAGAGTGAGTCCATGGAGAGTTCAATTCAATCGGTATCGCTCGATACGGTGGATGAGCTGAGCTCTTGAATAGGATATTTGCCGGAGACCCTCCGGAGTACCCTCGTTCTCGAACGCTTCGAACAGCTTTCCGAGAAGAGGCTCGGTGGACCATTCGTGATGCGCGGATAAGATACCGACTTCGAATATGTTTCAAGGATCGACGAGTCGACGAGTCGACCGGTCGGACGCCTCCAAGCGTTCGTTCGAAAAACGTTTGTACGAAGTTGGTGTCCGCTTTTAGAGAATGAAGAATTTGATCATCGATACCGATTGTGGAGTGGATGATGCGATAGCACTGATTGCCGCGTTGAGCTCAGGGAACGCGAACGTTGTGGCAATCACATGTGTTTCCGGCAATGCCTCTCTTCGGGACGTTCTGGTGAATGTTTCCAAAGTTCTCAAAACGTGTGGGCGTGAAGGAGTACCGTTTTACGCCGGCTGTGAAGGTCCTCTCGCTCGAGAGAACGTTTTCGCGAATAACTATCATGGAACAGATGGGCTCGGGGAATGTCCTTCGGAGTTCGAAAAGGGTCCCGAAGCCCAGCCTGGAATCCACGCCGCCGAGGCATTGATCAAGACCAGCAAAGACCGAGTCGGTGAAATTGTCCTTGTGATGCTGGGACCGTGCACGAACCTCGCGGTCGCTCATCACATAGATCCTCGGGTAACAACGTACTTCAAAGAAATCATCTGCATGGGTGGAAACATCGAGGGCAAAGGAAATGTGACTCCGGGAGCGGAATTCAATTTCGCATCTGATCCCGAGGCGGCGCACGTTCTCGTTCAACAGTCGAAGTGCCCCGTGCTGCTCGTTCCTTGGGAGACCATCACAAAAAACTGGATTCCTTGGAATTTATACGAGAGAATGATCAACGGGACGACTCCGAAATCGAAGTTCTTGAAGGCGATCTGTGCGTTCACGGAGAAGTACTACCGTGACGAGAACGTGGGGCACGACGGATACGAACTGGGAGACTTCCTTGCCGTGCTGGCGGCCATCCGCCCAGACTCCGTGACGAAGAAAATCAGCCGGAGGCTCGCAGTGGAGCTACGCGGCGAACATACGAGCGGACAAGTTGTTCAAGCATGGTACAATGATATGCTGCCGGCAGTCACGAAATCGACAGCGGTAGCCTTGGAATTCGACCCGCGCATTGTCGAAGAAACCTTGCGATCGATGGTCGGCGATCCCTGAAGAAAATAGAGAGACCGAAAATCGGTCCGCTCGTTTCGCCAGTTGTTCTCTCTTGTGTTCGTGGAGATCCTCGCCGAAATAAATGATTTTTAATGAAGTAGAGGAGGCTGTATTTTCTTGGTCAAAGTCCTCGCGAGTTACGACCTTCGAGTGAAACGCCCGTGAGGAATCAGCATCGTCCCTGACGCTGCAGGAGCTTCAGGTGCTCCGCCCGCAATGAGTCCATCCATGCTGTGATTTCTGATGCTCATAGTCCTGTGTAGCTGCTGGCCCCGACAGAGTCTCTGAAGAAATCAGTCTGCAGTCTGAATCTAATTCCGGAATCTTTCAATCAGAGACAACATCCTCTACTCTGAGTCTCCAGTCGGAACTATTCGACTTTGACATCGAGTACACATTCACGCTGAAGGTTTGTCTTCCTTCCTCCCCGAAGATATCTCATTGAAGGTCACACTATACGCAATCGTCTCCCTCGAAGGGACATCTCCGAAACGTCAACTGAAATTCTCATGAATGATCAGGTTGGCCAAGGCAAGACCGCGGGCGAGGCTGTTCACCAATTGATTCGCCATGAGAATCCCGGGCCGATGGTTCTCCTATATAGCACAACAATGTTGCAGCTGGAACCGGTGACTGTCTCGCAATCCGAGTAAGTGAGCCCCAACTATTCATAGATTGCATTGCTTGGGTTGTTGAGACGCAGAGTGGTCCGTATCCGACAATCAAACCGATGAATCTTTTGCACCTCCCACTGCAGCATCGTCATCTATGTGGAGACAATCATCCCCGATCCCGAGCGCTGTCCGAACGACACATTCCACGAGATCAAGTACAGTTGGCGTGTGGATCGGCCCGATGTCAAGCTCGATCCATGCAGCTTGGACAGCGGCACCGTTTACCGCGTTCAGCCATTCACCTTACCACGTGAGAGCTCTGGGAGAGATGGCCAGCTGAGAGATCAATTGTTCCGAAGGAAACGATTCGAAAATTGAAAATATAATTTCTCGCTCGCAGCGAACGCCAACGTGACCTTCACAATCCGAGCGTACATGTACGAGATTCGAAACAACGGCGCCGAGGCTGTACATCTCATTGATCACTATTCGGAATCTAGCGTGACTCTTGCGGTAGCGCCGACGAAATTAAAAGCCATTCTGAGAGGTACACCCGTGCGGGAGGTCGGCGACGGGACTTCGATTAATCACTACTCGTTAATCCTGGATGCTACCCCATCCCTTCATTCATCCATTCCGGTCACATATCTCTGGAGGTGCATCGACGAGGTGAGTCCCTGATTCGAATCTGTTCGTCTCGAAAATGAGTGCCGGAGCGCATAGGGGAGCAAATGTCGTCCCAGACGACCCCGTCCCCCACTCTCAGCTTGCGCCCTCGCTCATCAGCGGCGTTGATGGGTGCGGTTCCGAACCTCGAATTCTCACTCTTTCATTTTCGTTATTTCCAGAAGCTACAGCCGTGCTACGATTTCGGATTACGAGCCAATCGATCTCTACTCGTAAATCCCGTCGAATTCAACGGTCCAGTACTGAACATCAGCACTGAGAGTATTCAGCCGCAGAAGACTCTGAACTTTTCGGTCACCCTGTACCGAGCGAACAATGGGAGCGCTACTGAACCGTCGACAGCCTCCGTTATTGTCAACACGCTCGCCTATACCGCTCCTATGGTAATTGTCATCAAGAGGAACCTAATTTCAGTCGGCTCCAGGGTCGATTACGACTTTTTATCGGCTACACTAGCTCATATCCATGACGTCAACTTCCAGGTCTGGCTTCATGAGATCCGCGTACGCGACAGCGCAATCTACGATTTCGATGAAGCATCCGAATCGTTTATTGTACCCGCCGGGCAACCGGTGGTACTGCACGTAAAATTCCGTTTCGTGCATCAGAACAGAGTGCAAACCCATTGGGACGTTGACGGTTTCCCGACAAATCACGGAGCCATCGGGTCACGCTCCAGCCACGAAGGGGACTCGTTCCTGTCGCTTCCTGAAGGTGCCGTCCATCATGATAATTGCCTAATCGAGTCTGAAATCGTGTGGTTAATCACTCCCAGTAGCTTTTGATCTTATCATTGGAATCATTGAATTTTCAGGGTCCTTGGTCGCCCACGGCCGATACAAGGTCGGCATGCGAGTCTGCGAGGGCAAACAACATTGCACGCAAATGAAGATTAATCTTTTCGCGAAACCCGGCGTCGCGCTCTGCCGCCTGACAATACCGTCATTTGAAGAAATCCTCGAGGTCTACAACCGCACGGAAGTTCTCGTATCGGGCTGCTCGATACCCTTAGGAATCCACCCGCTCACATACCAACTGCTCGTGGAGAGGGAGAACAACACCTGGATCCCGGTTTCGACCGTACAACACTCCCCATTGATCCCGTTTTACGTTCCCCTGCCCATCGATAATGGAACCACGTTGGCTGTCTCGGTGTGCGACCGTTTTGAGCAATGCTCGTACTTCTACAATAAGTCTATTCCGACCATCGAGACTTTCAACGAAACTTATAGTCGTCAGGAGATGACGTCTCACATTGGACGATTGATTTCTGCGGGTGTGTTTTTCCCTGGTATATGTGTCTCGAATCATATCTACCCAATTTTCAATGAGAGGGATTCGCGAGGACATTTCAAGCCTTTCATCCTCTGGCAGAACGACATTTGGAAGCTGCGGCAATCCTCGTTTCGGTCAGCTTGGGTCGCGGAGAGTTGAACGAGTCCGCGCTCACTCCCGAAGAGAAAAAAGAATTCTTCGAGACGAACGATCAACTATTGACATCCGTCTTCGTGAGCACCAGCAAGAAGGACCTCTCGCCCGGGGAGATCAACCTCATGTACGAGTGCATGAAACTCGTGATGCGAGGAGGGACCGTGGATCACAAAGCCGGAGCGATTGAAGCCACTGGTGCAATAACCGATCAAGTTCTGTACAATAAGGTGCGCAGCACGAAACGCTCCTCCGTATCTCGCGTCTAATCAGCAGACACAGCCGGAGAGGACTCAAACGCCGCTCATCGGTCTCCCGTATTTCAGATCGAAGTCACGCTGACTGCGATGGAAGAAGCTTACAAGGCAGTGCGCTTCTGCGGTCAGAAGCACAAGACTGATCCGCAGATCAAAAGAAACGTGGAGTACGCACAAAAAATTATCGAGACCGTTATCGCCTCGCGGCTCCCGAAGGGTCAAACGGTGGGTTTCCCGGATCTCTTCTTAGTTCGAGAAGGGGGGAATTTCTCTGATATCTTCTCCAGCTGAATGGTTCCCTTGCATCAATTTCACCAGGTCAGGATTGTCTCTGATATCACGACGGTCATCCAACACCGATTCACCACGAGAGAGCCGATCGTTTTCGCGGGGACAGCTCCCGTCAATTCCACGAGACAAGGGGTTCCCGATGCTATAATTCATTTCAAGAAGAATATCAACGGACTGTAAGCTGAACACGAAATTCGACCGCGAAATGTCATTGCGGTCATACCGCTTCCTGTGCCACGGAGCAGGTTAATGAAGGAATAACTCTGGCTTATCCACCGCAGATTCAATTATTGGAACTGTGCGAGTGGATCGGAGAAGAAGATGTGTAATGCAGTTGTTGTTGTTGTCAGCGTTTATCCCTACAATCCTTTCTCGGACAACACGCGAGGCACCATGATCTCTCCCGTGGCCACGATAACGTTCCGAAAGCCCGACACAGGTACCTCTGCTACGACTCGCAATCCTTTGTTCCTGCCTCGATAGACTTCCTTTCGTCCGATCCTGGATCGCGAATATAAGCTAGCTCTTTTTCCTGGAGAGTTGGATGACGGAGGTAATTCGTACATACATGCATGACACTATCGATTGCGTTTCAGGCGAGGAACACAAGGTCTCGGGTCTGAAAGACTCGATTTTGATTCATTTCCGTCAAACGGGTAATTTCACCAAAACGGCTGGCTACATCTCATCGTGTTATAAGTGGCACGAGCGCAACGAGGAATGGGACTCAGATCAAGTCAAACTCCTCGGCACTGCCGGTAATGTGATTCAGTGCGCTACAGAGGTACGTTGGAGTGTCATCAAAGGTTTCGGGCAGCGGAGAATATTAGTTTTGGTGGTCTTTGAAAGAATGTTTCAATTCTCAGCGTTTTCGATTTCGGTACAGAGGCCCATGGACATCGATCCATATAGGTTTGTTCGAATCATGGAATTATTTCAGGGTTCCGGATCCTATATAGTCTTCAACGAGAAGGAAGGTTTGTCGACGGCGGCCATCGCCGGCATTGTGGTCGCCTGTATGATGTCGGTGTTCATCGTAGCCGCCGTCATGATGTTCATGATGCACAAAAAGCAAGCCCAAGAGGCCGCTATGAAAATCGCGCGTCAAAATGGCAAGCATAAAGCCAACGCGGTCGCTCCTACATTCTGAGCGCTCGTGCGACACATCTCGAAGTTCGGATGAAGGAACTCGAGAGAAGTCACTTGAGGGAGATCTCAACCGAGGGAGCATGAACGCTCAACTCCGGATACGAACAAGAAGTCAAGATCATCAAAGAGTCTTCATACCCCGGAAATCTTCTCGGTTACACAGGAGGACATGTAAAGCCACGACAACCTGAGTTCCCCACACTGATACGGGCAGGATTTCAGCCCTTGGCAATCTGGGCTCGTGTCCTCGGGGAATGCTGAACAGTCTTTGGCCTCGATATCCGGGAGAAGCCGTGGAATGGCGAGCTGCCGTGGCGTTGAATTCCGGCGATGCAAAATGTGGAATCAATAAATCCCATAATTATTCGGAGACTGCTCTACAGGCTCCACTTCTGATAATTACATTATATCATAATTATTGTATATGTTGGGACATTTTGAACCTCCTCAACGAACGCCCCATAGATCCAATTTATCATCTCCTCATCCCTCCATCATCTCCACATCTCCCAGACTCTGCGATGGAACTCCAATGCATAGGAATAGGTCGAATGACTGCGAGAAAATGGAAGTATTTTCGTGGGTTTTATTGAATCCTAAACTGGAAGCGCAAGGAATCAGCATTGTTCACTAAGAAATTTCCCCCGATGTCCCTCACTCTCCATCACATAGACAATTTTTCTTTCGGCATGTATCCAGCGTCACCGCATTGCGAAAGCTCGACTTCTCCATCGGGGTGGATTGTTAATATTGTGATCGAGCCGTGGCTCAAAGAGAATCGCGACCAAGCTTGAGGAGGTAGTTGAAGAGTTCGGCAGACGAAGTAACGAATCACGTTAGCGTGACAGACCAAGAGGAGATTCGAATCGCGCTCCTGCTCTGGCGGCGCGCGATGGAAGAACCGACGGAAACCGGCCTCAATGACAGCTGAATCTTGGAAGAATTCGCTGGGATGTGGGGACCAGTGAGGGTAGGGGGGGTCCGGGGACAAGGCGACACCCTCGACGAAGCAGCTCGGACTCTTCACGGGGACCCGATACGTGCTGGCAGATGATGTCGGCTGTCTGTTTCGCTCGTGTCATGGAAGAATTCACAATGGAGTCGAACGATAAGCCGAGTCTTTTCAGACGGAGACCGGTAAGCTCGGCCTGCTGGCACCCGAGTTTGGTCAGCACTGCTAGCTCGTCTTCCAAGGAAGGGTCGTTCTCGTACTGACCGTGTCTCACGAGATAAATATTCCGTGCTCGCGTCGGCTCCCGCGGTACTTCGCGGCTGTCTCCGTCGTCTTGCGCAGAGATCTCCCGGAAGTCCCAGTTCCGATTCCATCTTCCCGGAGAGCCGGCGTCACAGAGAGTTCTCTTCGAAACACATCGGACGATGTAGGTGGCAGATGCGGTGGCACCGAAAAGCGCATACGTCGCGCGTGAGGAGAGCATCTTCCGAAACTCACTCCCCAGCCGAAGAGTGGGCCGCTCGGAGAACAGATGGACACGCTATGGCAAAAGGTAAACAACGTCGGGCGATTGGGCGCGCGCATCGGTTTCGAGTTCACGGAGGTGGCCCTCCATTCCAATGCCGGCTGCGTGCATATCACAACAACGCTCGGGATCATTATGAAAATTGAGCTCCTTCCTACTGGAGCCCATTCATTAAGATTGTTTCATGCCAGTATTTCGAACTTCGGAGTCGGGTATGAGGAGGGGGTCCCCTACCCCTCAGATCTTCGTATCGAGACTTGGCCTCAAGAGTTCATTGAGATAGGAACCTCTGCAGCTCATCCAGGGCCCATTTGAGTATTTCGAGCTCCGAGGCAGAGCACCATTCGACCATGATGCAAGAAATCCGTTCGTATCTTCAAACGAAGATCTCCGCTTCATACGGAGACTCGTTGACGCGGCTAATCTCCACGCTCTCTTCTTGGCCCTGTTTCTCTTATGAATTCTTCCGCATACATATCCCGAGCCGAATGCTCGAGATCTACCGCTGTGGACCGGGACGAAAGAAATGCGCGCTCCGCGTTCCGCGGGATCGAAGAGGCGTCCTGATGGATGCAAGGATCGCGACCCCCTTTACCGGGTTGGAGTTCGATCATCGGCCCGAGCGATACGATCCATTCACACGGATGTATCTGTAGGAGTGCGATCTCCGCTGACCGGAAGATTCCGCTACTCTCTAGACGCGGGAGACCGCCGTCTCTCGTGATCGACACGTATGATTTCTCACAAGTTGCTAATTCTCATTGTCGGTGAGTGCCCGCATCGGGTTCTCGAATGCCGAGTAGAGGGTGTCGGTAGGCTTTGCGGTGGAAGCTCGAAGTCAGCGGAGCTGAAAAAAACGCTTGGTTGGTATCTCCTGCCAAGGAAGAGATTTCTGGTTAAGGAGAAGGCCGCCGCTCTCAATCATCACACTCGTATGATACGTCGTGCCGTATCTAAACAGAGCTTCCTTCGCCATTTGATAGGGTCGTGTCGCCGACTCGGTATGGGTTCGAGCTTACGCGAAGCGATATCGCGACTTTGCGCCGCTCTGGGGTCTCCTACGCAAGAAAAGGCGAGAGCGCTGCACTTCTTGCGGAATCGACTGCTCGGACCAATTTTTCTCTCGGAAGAATACAGAGTGTGAATTCGATCGAATGGATTTCGCCGTGTGACCCCGTCTCGGCTCGTTGATACGTTGACGAGCTTCAGCTTAAAACCTGAGACGTTCTTGCGCGTCTCTTTCCCTTTCAATCCATGATTACTCTCACCGCGAGACCAAGCAAATCATCGACGAAAGCTGCTCGTATTTCATCCACTCAGTGCAGGATGATTCGTTCACTGGTACTAATCGTCGTTCTCGGCTTAGCCGCAAGCACCCGACTGCATCGGGGCAGACCGTTGCACAAGCATGGGATGCTCGGAGAGCCTCGATCGACATCACGGCATTCTTTCGGTGAGGCTGAAATCCGCTGGCACACCCAACGCATGAACCACTTCGATCCAGCTGATCGTCGTACCTGGAAACAGCGGTACATGGTAAATGACGAATTCTACCGAGAAGGTGGCCCCGTTTTTCTGCTACTCGGAGGAGAGGGCGAAGCTTCGATTTCTTGGGTCGAGAAAAATACTCACGTCATGCTGATGGCGAAGAAGCACAACGCTCTCGTATTCCAACTCGAGCACCGCTTCTACGGTCAGAGCCGTCCGACCTCGGATCTGTCGACGGAGAACCTGGTTTACCTATCGAGTGAACAAGCGCTAGCGGACGCCGCACACTTCCGTAACGTGATCACCAACCGAAGAAACCTGTCACCGGATGCCAAATGGGTTGTTTTCGGGGGCTCTTACTCTGGATCTCTCGCTGCATGGTTCAAACTGAAATACCCGCATCTGGCGGTCGGTGCCGTTGCTTCTTCTGCTCCTCTACTGGCCATAATCGATTTTCAAGATTACGTACGGGTGGTACGCGATTCTCTCGGCAGCAGTTGCAGTGCCAAAGTGAAGGATGGCTTCCAGGCACTCCAAGTCAAAGCCGCGCGTCGGTCGTCTTGGCCGGACATCGACAACGAGTTCAAGACTTGCGTGCCTTTCGACGGCTACAACAGCTTGAACTTGCAGAACTTCTTCCAGACCATCGCCGGAAATTTCGAGGGGATCGTGCAATACAACAAAGATCAGAGGATGGAAGGGCGAACGAACATTTCGATCGACGATTTGTGCCGCCTCATGGAGAACGCCCCAACTCCTCTGGAAGGTTTAGCGTCTGTCAACGACCTGCTCCTCGAGTCCACAGATTCGAAATGCCTGGATTACGACTACGCCAAATTCGTTCGCGAAATGAGAAACGTCAGTTACTCCAGCGTCGCGGCAGAGGGCGGACGGCAATGGACTTATCAAACCTGCGTGGAGTTCGGATTCTTCCAGAGCTCCGACGCTGAGGACCAACCTTTCGGTGATCTGTTCCCGGTCGAGCTCTTCATACAGCAGTGTCGAGATATTTTCGATGATTTCTTCGATCAATCGATGTTGGACAACGCGATTTTCCGTACAAATACCGAGTACGGAGGTCAGCAGCCGAAACTCACAAACGTGACCTTCCCGAACGGTTCCATTGATCCATGGCACGCACTGAGTATTCTCAAAAACCTATCAGACTCGGTGACGGCTCATTTCATCGAGGGAACCGCCCACTGCGCGGATATGTATCCGCCCTCCGCCGAGGACGACGAAACGCTCACCGCAGGCCGTCAGAAGATCGAAGCAGAGGTTGCCAAGTGGCTACAGTGAGGGAACTCCATTGCGACCGCAGCTCAGAAGTGGTTTCAAGTCAATTGAATTTTATAAAATACGCGCAAATATTCGCTGTCGATGATTCGGAAGAGAATAATGATTGTCGTTCTCTCTTACGCTCAGATGGATATTCTCTCATGATTTCAATTCCTCCATGAGCTTACGAAGACCGACTGCCGGAACCTTTTTGAAGAGTCGGAGTCTCGGTTGTTTAGTCATGTGGATGGCGAGGATTTATCCCAGGTGCCAGGCGCTGGGCCTCTATGCCGTCGAGGAGAAATTCATTGATCGGGCACAACTTCGCAAGGCTTTATTATTATCAATATTTTCGGGTCCGACCTCAGTATCGTGCGATCACGTGATCAGTTGTAAAACGTCAAAGTTCCCTGCTAACAGATGCGCTGCCTCAGGCGACCTAACAAAGAGAAAGTTGCCTCTCTGGGTTCGTATCGGGCAGTCTGGACGTGGAAAAGCTGTTTATGAAGTACATAGAGTAGGAGATGAGGACAGAACGGCGACGGTAGACCAACAAGGCAGTTCAACCGTACGGCGGAATTTCCATCGCCGGATCATCGCTTTTTGGTTTCGGTTCCTTCACGAAGGGAGCTTTCCTCCTCGAATACTGCTTTTCACGAAATTATATGCTGCCTTTCCATCCATCAGATAGTCGATCACATTAAAAGGAGTCGTCTCCCCTTGTGGACCTCGTCACGAGCTGCAGCGTGTGGGCTCCACTTGCTGGAATCCTTGATCTAGAATTCAGGGATGCTTCTGTCCATGAGTTTCTTCAGGAGTCCACCGGACGTGTATTTCAAAAGGTGCTCGAATATCACCGAGGGCATTATGGTGATGGTGATTGCTTGAGGAGAAGAGCGGATGAGTTCCCTCGTGTAGGAATCTTTCATCCCGACCACGTTTTGTCCGTTGACCTCGAGGATGTGGTGCTCAGTCAAGAGGCCGTTCCGGGCGGCAGAACTGTCTTTCAAGAGGGTCGTGACTTTTCCGTCGCGAATGTCGAATCCGCAATAGTTGTTGCTGTCTTTCACCATTGTGACAACTCTTTCGAAAGGTCGATCCCGAATGGCCATCGTGATGCAGGTCTCCGACGCCTTCCGAATTACGTCGTGTACCTTACTCAGGCTGTAGCCGGCGACGTACTGAAAGACACGGAGTTTTGATTTGGATATCTCGACTCCAGATGACCGGATTCATGAAAATAAATCATCGCCGCTCCGATTCGGAGCGGCTCGCTCACCTCATCGTTGATGCTGAGCACCTGATCCCCGAAACGCAGTCCGACCATGGAAGCTGGAGTATCTTTCTCGACGAGCACTACGAATACGCCTTTGTTCAGAGCTTCGAGACGGAGGCCGACCTTGCCGCGATGATCTTTGCAGAGAACGACTTCACGGACACCATGGTTGATTTGGCCTCTCTGTAGACCGGCGCTATTTCCGGTCAGGGGGGCAATCATTCCCTGCGCTGGAGTCAGGGATTGCACCGTCTGGAGCGACAGTCCCATGTAGTCGTCCAAGGTTGGATATAACACAAGCTGGCTGCTCGGCACCGGGGTCGACGTGTACGCTGGGGGAGCTGCGGATGAATTCCATCGAACTCAGAATCCCTGTATTCCCCCAAGTCTGATCTCTATTAGATGGCTATCAGAATTCAGAATACTCTAGGAAGCGGCGAAGACGAAGGACGTCTTAGTGTGGTACCCACCTGAGGAGGCTTGGAACTCTTGAGCTCGCATCATCTGGTCCACCTTCATGTCTTCGAGCGACGGATACAGAGCCATCCTAGAAGAGAGAAAACAAGTTCAGCAGAGCCGAAACCTTCCCGCTCGGGAGATTCGAAGAGCCTCTGGAGTCAGCAGAAGAAGCTCAAGCTGAGGAATGCGGTGCCTGGAGGCTTGTTGGAACGCCGCTGGGGCGAACGGAATTCCCTCTTACTCGCCGACCTACGACTCAATCAGCGATCACGGACTGCTTTTCAATGCCCGAGGAAACTTGATCTCACATAGATGTGAGCAGCAAAGTTCCATAACACAGAGCCGCTCGAAACGAGGGAAATATTTTTGTGCCGGTGTGCTCACTGATCCGATCATGAGTCGAGCTGGATATGTTTCACGCTATATTGAAACACTCATAACGAATGTCGAGTCGATGACGGAGTCTTATCTGCGCTCGCTCCTAATTCATGACCGCTGACGATGGGATCGTCCCGCCGCAATTCTGAAACCTCGAGGTGAGCACCAAGCGAGCGAGATATTTAGCTCCGTGGCTGAGCCGACAGTGGAATATCTCCATTGTGAGAATAAAGCGCGGATGTACGTCTCGAGAGAGTGATCACACCGAATCCACGTCCGCTGGGCTCGAGTGACGACTACGCGGATCAGCCGTCCGGTCCGAAGTCCTCCGGAATCGCCAGCGTCGCGCCATCCGGAGGAGCTTCCCGTCGGAAACTCAGGCGCGGGCGTCGGTGCAATGTATCTGGAGAGCTTCACCATTCCTGCAAACTTCCGTATGATGTCCATCGGTGCCGCGATGATCATCGATCCGCATCAAAAGATGGCCTTGTGGCGAAGTAGTTTCGCATGATCCTGCGAACTCGACGACCTCTTCCGCAATTCCGAGCTCAATTAAAAGCCCCCTCTAGAATTAGAGGAATGAGATCACGAATAATTGTATGGGCCAAAATCGTGGAGCCGACCATACTCCTCGCATATAGGGCGATTATCTCACGCGTTTGTCGGATGGCTTAGAAACCGACACGCAAAGTGTTACTCACGCAACCGATAACAACTCAGGCTCGCACTCCGTACCAGGCAGCAGACACGGACTCTGACACGTACTAATGACGCCCAAGAAGAAACACCGAAAATCTCATATGGTCGTGTCGCGTCCATCGAATTCATCAGGAAATCTGGCCAGAGTATTCCACAGGGCCGTCTTTCCGTTGAACAGGAAGGTATTCGTTCCCCGAAGTAGGTATCCCAGATAGGAGAGAAGCGCCTTGATTCACGCGGGAGGCTGATCCAAGCATGAGAAGTCTTCCCGAGAGGGAGCGAACTCTCTGAGGGATTCATGGCAACTAACGGATGAGCGAAGAGTCGAATAGATATCTCTAAGTCGGTCGAAGGGTTTTTGGCTCCTCTCCCGGGGACTGGGCTCCGGGAAAACCCCCACCATTGCAGCTCGAGTTTTTCCTGGCCCTATCAACGCGAGCTGATTCAGGGTCCGGAATCGAGAGCTCCCCGACCGAGATAACGGGGGATATCCGGGGCGGAGATCAACGCTCAGCATCCACAATTTCCAGAGCAGTGAAAGTCGAACCGATCAGGCGCCGCAGAGCACTCAAAGATCAGATGCTCAGGAGAAGATACCGTTGATCGATCGAATTCCGGTCCAATTGTACAGCTCGTAGAGATACTCACGTGGAAATCTGTGAGTCAACTTTCCGCAGGACAGAAAACTTGAGTAACGGTGACGGATTCAATTCTTTCCACAGTAGTGACAAGTTTCGGTTAGCGCAGATCCCTACGAGGTTGGTTTTGTAGCTGATTCCTCTCTCTCGCCGCCGCCCGCAACAACTTGGAGAGACAGACGGCACCCAGCTGATGACTAATGATCGGACGAGTTTTTCAGCTTTCACGATCCTTTTGCGGCTTCCGCGAGCGACTGTATGCTGTGTAAAGATAGCGTGAGATTTTAGCATCCAATCCGGAGCAAGACCGCGAGAGGGGTGGACGCGGGCTAAAATTTGTCAGAAACGGAACCCGAAGACTAACGGACAGGGTAGATGATATTGCTGATCTCTGTCGGCAGCTCGATTGTACTATCGGGCGCTCCTTGCCTCCGTCGCCGAGAGATGGTCTCATTCCATGTATGTAGCGGTAAACTGAGCCTCACACGCTCATTCATCACTCGATACGCCGCATGATATCGGCTCGCATTGCTGAGGGATAATACTATGATTCGAAGGACTTCCGTCGAGGGAGGTGATCGAGATCCCTGCTCGACTCGACCACAGCAAGATCGTCGGTTCGACTTTCAGAAGTGCCTGCCGCCCGCCTTCCTCCTATTCACATAATTTTTTTGTTCTAAATACGATGGTACACGCCTGATAAGGCCGTGTTACCGAACTGACGATTATCGAATGATAGACTTTTCTGTCGTTGCTGGATTTGTTTTTCTATACCAGTGGTCTCAGGAGTCGCTGTGAATAGCTCCAACAAATTCAAGTTATGATGTATCAACGTCTGACCGACGGAGCGACGGTCAGACATAGGGTGCGGCGTCTATGAAGAATCACCTCAACAACTTCGTTGGAGGAAGACGGAGAGTGCGCCAGGATCCGCTGAGCTCACGCCGGCTCGGAATGGGCCATGCTGGAAGTACGGATTTCTTTCGAAGTGCTACCTCCATACAGTTTTATGAGCCGCGAGTATTGATTCTCATTAGCTTCATCCTATCGAAAGTATCGTGACCGCGGGTCTTCCGAGCACTCCGACGGTCATTAATCATCTAATCATCAATGTTTGCTTGATGTCGGCCGATGCGCGAGCCGAGGTGTCGTCTCGAGATATTTGCATGGGCAAGCCTGTCGACATGTGTATCCTCGCTCCATTAAGAAACAGGTCAGGAGGGGGAGCTCCATGCGTCCTACATCACGCGGAGTCATCCTAACCTTCGGGAGTCGGACATTCAGTCATCGTCGTAGTCGCTCAGAATGATACGTCGATATCCGCTCACATCCATGGAGTACAAAAGACCGGTTCGGGCGGACTCCGAAAGTATCCGTGAGTCGCTAGCATTATGGATTCCAAACCAGTGACCCACTGTCTCTGCTGCTTCGATGGTCTCCTCGTCTACGCCGAAAAATTATCCTTCGAAACCATGGAGGATATCGTCAAAGAGTTCGGTCATCGCTACAACGCCAATATTCAAGTCAGGGACTTCGATCGAGTAGGGGTTCGAAGTTACAGTCTCGAAAAGCCAGCTCCTGCGGGGAGCAGAGCGTTCGCTCCTAATCGAGAACGAGGCATCTCAAGCTGGAAACTCGATCTTCACTCGAAGTCCGGATCACTGATTCCAGCTGGCTTTTTAAGATTGGAAGGAAAAAGTCTTGTCCCTTTACCTCCTACGAATCGGTCGAGTTGCATTCACCAGAACAATAATTTCAGCAACTTCTGAGCCTTACAACTCTTTCAGAATATGAAAGAATGCCATTCCGAATGCGGGCGATTCTCATTGAGAACTCCGGTATCTGAAAGACTCTCCAACCGAGATAACGGTCATCCACCAATAATTATTATCAGCACGAAATCTTCGAGAAATTTTCTATTTCGTTGCGCTTGAAGCACTGCGGAGACTGATCTTATCAGGGATAAATGAAAGTTTTATTTACAATTCGGAATTTTCACGAGTGAAAGGGTCCTTTTCATCTCACCACCAGCCGCCGTGTCCACCAAGCTCATAGCCGCCTCCATAGTGTTTCTCGGTGTGAACTACATGCACCGGTTTGTGAACATGGTGGTAGTGCTCTCTGAAATATGAGGCGTTCCCGAAATGTAATTCTCGGGTATCCTTTCACCTTACTTGCGTCACGGTGTAATCTTCGTCGTACTTACAAGTGGACATGAGTGACGTGCTTCTTCGGCGGGTGAGGTTGATGATGATGATGTCCTAATAACAACGCACCAGCGCCTCCCGCGGCTGCGAGTCCACCAAGACCGAGTAGCAAGCCGTAGCCTTTCTTCTTCGCTTCAGCTTCTTGCAAACAGATCAAGCTTACCGCTGCCACGAGGAGAATACAGAACACTTTCATCGTCGTTTGCGACTCCGAGGACTTATTCGAGAACTCTGACACCGGGCAGCTGCTAGTATACCAGCAGAGAGGATTCCTAAGTGCACTACAGGAGCCGAACAATCGTTCTGGAAGCCCGGGTTGCGACCGCAGCTTATATGGGAAAGTTTTCTGGTATTGCGACACGCTCGCACCATCGACCGCCCCCGATTTTTATGCGCGGCACGGGAGCCCTCATGTTCCTGTGTCAGCTTCGCTGAGTTCTATCTGTGCAGCGTGTCCAGTACGTTGGTCAGCAGGTCACTGCACCATCTGCACCTTTGAATTACCATCCCAGAAGAGGGAAACGCGAATCAGCCCTGAGGCTCGATTAGCATCTGACTGAGAGAGCTATTATTATCTCTCGATCCCATCTTGGGATCGAGAGTCCTCCTGTCTGAGGAGCAGGATGAAAACATCCCGAGCTTCGGAGTTTAGATTTCGCATTTTTCGCGCGCAAGGAGATGATCAGTCATTTGAAGCGAATAAAGATTGGCTGTGCATAAGGGCAACCGAACTGCCGCGCCGCCCCGCGCTGGCCCCTCGGAGAGACAGTCGGAGTCCAGACTGCGAAGCACGCTGCTCGAGAACGGATTATCAGAAGACGGAAAAATTCAGATCGAGCTCAGACACTGAAGCAGACAACCTGAGAAGTTTTGACTTTCATGAAGAGTCCAATGGTCGAACCATGGCGAGAGCCAACGATCAATTAACATTCTGTCCGCTCTGCGGTTTTCGAACAGATCTGATGACTACTCTAATTGTCCCGTTCGCAGGGCTTCCTTCCCCGGGGCACGTATGCATCCACAGCGATAGCCTTCTCTCCGAAGAGCTTCTACGATAGGTTTTTCGATCGTGTCCGCGTGCAGCAGGCATTTCACCATGGATAGCTGCTCGAGAAGCGCTGGAGGCCAACAGCGAGATCGCTCGTGGACACCTTTTCCTACCCCATGAGCCACGTCCCTCGCTCATCATTCCAAAAACGGTCCGTGGCGAATCCTTGTAATGCGCGTCCTCTGTGCGCACAGGTCTCCACGCCTGATTGCAGACATGGCTCCAGATACAGAAGATATTGCTGGGCACTGATTTCTACAGCTTATCAATTTCTTCTAAATTCGTTCGTGTACTGAATGTTCTCGAATCTGAGCATCATTGGAGTGCCGTCGGCGACTGGGAGAGAATCAAGCGAGGAAAATTCATAGGTCAGCTTCGGAATCCCCTGGCCACCCATCAGAGCTTCACTGAGATCATTCACGATTCACGACACTTGATGACGACAACATGAAGCAAAATCTTCTGCAGTGGCGAGTCACCTTTTCGTCGAATTTACCCACTGAATATTACATGTTTGAGCTGAGAGCTTGTTAGACGTTCAAAACACTTAATTCCCAAGTCACTCAAGCAAACGGAACCGTGGTCGCATTTACCTGTCTGCCCCCAAAAAGGTGTTGTTTTTCTTCCAGACACCCTAAGACCTCGGTGAACATAACAATGTTTCTCTGGGTTCGCGTAAGATTTTCTGTTATTGTCCCGGGTGTCGGGGAGTCACCATTCCATAACAAATTATGGAAAGTAAAAAAAAATGATAAGCTCTCGAGCGACTGACGCAGTCACCAAATCTATGACCGTAACTATCACTTACCACTTACGATCACCTGAGAACGCCATGACTCGGTCAGAAAAATGAGGGGAACTCGTCATTACTTTCATTTCCCTCAGCGTTTTCCTTTCTTCATGGAGACATAGATCAAGGTTAGTTTCGCTTCGGAAAGTCGTCTGAATTGGAAGTTGATGTTCGCAACTTTCTGGAATACTTTTCATGCGAACTGGGCGAATGTTCTTCGTCACCTGAGTGATGTAAGACGTCCTCTCCGCTCCGAATGGCCAGCTTTGTCCACAGAAAATCGGTAGCACCATGAATGCGACATGAATAGCTCCGGAGGAGAATTGATCGTGTGTGGTATACGATACCATCGACGATCATGATGCACCATTCCGACTCTATTCACTGACAAGAGTCACACCTACAGAATAGTGATTCAGAACTGACTTTTCCCGATCCATGATGGATTCAAGATACACTGACTAAGAAGCGGAAAACGTTTGCACATCAGTCGACTCCCACCTTCTTTTCAGGCAGCCGCAGCTACTCGTCCCGAATTTCTGCGCACGTTTCCCAGCAAACGAAAGGTGGTCGACATCGGGAGGACGCCCACAGATTTTTCCGTACTTCTTAAGATGTTGGCTCGCATCATTACGATGAAGATTGACCTCTTACAGAAATCGCACCTCTGCAGAACCTCTCGTGACGGGACACGCAGGAACTAACGCTAATGAGCCGAATCAGGGGTACTGGGGACTCGTCCGAGTTAGTTCCCGATCGACGTAGATCTGAACTTGATCGTTTCTGCATCATTGCATTTGCCCCATCTTGGCGCTGAATTGATTTGTCGGCGAGTCGCACTATCCGGAACAACCTCAACCGATTCCTTGGTCACGGACGGGAACGTACAGCCATCTCACTTTCTCTGATGGTCCTACATCTAGCCGACGATATCAAACGGCCCTAGTCCTTCGATCTGGTACTTCATCGGTGACGCTTCGTGAGACTCGATGCCGATTCTCCGGGTTCGTAGACGCCCGGAGAGCCCGCCGGGGGACAGTCATTTCCAGATCAGAGAGGAAAAAAATGCCATCTTCTCGGATCAGTTCGAAGCGACGCCTGTTATGATCTTCTGTCTTTGTGATGTTACGGGAGAGCGCCCTTGACAACAACAGCAACTCAATCCACCCCCGCAAAGTGTGCCTGTGGCTCGTTTCGCTCAGGCGGAAAAAGAAAATACAGAAAAGGCGGACGTCTATTAATTCGTGTTGGTTTGTGACGTACCGCGGATTGTTTGTCGATTGACCAAGGGCTGGTATGATCGGTGAGTAAGAAATCTGCATAACGAAAAATTGCCGACGTTCGTCCAGAGGAACCTGAACTCTACATAGGAAAGTCTCCCCTCTGAGTCCCTATCCCGCCTCCCTTGTGAGAATTCGCCAAGGCTGGATATTCCAAAACAGTCTCTACCTCGCCTCTTTCGAGTGAGCCCAATGAGACGATTCGTCAATCGACGGCTCTCTCCGATGGATCGGACTCAGCCCGCTTTGCCTCAAACTAATTTGATAGCTCCACCACTCGGGCCTGACCATAGGTGGCTTGCCTTAACTAACCGCCGCGCCGGTCTGCCGTGAGTTTTTGTATTACTTTTCAACACCTTCTTGAACAGCTTCGATACTCCGGGTAGGTCTTCCAATCTGAGCCTGGGCTCGCTTGGAGAGCTCGTGACAAGTGGAAAGGGCATGAAATTCTTCGGCACGATGAAGACCCTTGCCTTCGTCGAGGGATCTCACCGTCGTTCACTCGGGCTGTAGCGATCATGTCGGGTACATTTCTTAAGTACAGTACAATTTAGGTAGATTCCCCACGTTTGCACTCCGACCCAGTTGGCAACGCGGCAGTATTCCCGTGAATAATTATCACAAGGAAAGCGTTCTTGCGGTTCCTGTCGTCCAGCCTTGCTTCGAAGTAGTTGAAAAGTGAAACGGCCTTCCCCTAGCTCAGTGTCTCCATTGCAGTCCGTATCCAGCGACGTGCCATCAATACTATCCGGGAACGGGAGCCGGATCGCGACTTCAACAACATGCAGACCAACTTCGAGAGACTGTGGAGTAAGTTCGTCGAGAAGAAGCGGCAGGAAGAGCAAAGGCAACGTGAGTCTGAGATTCTAACCTTCCGTCAATCTGAGTGTGTCAGTGACGAATGCGCCGAGCCTCTCACATAATGCGGGCTGTCCTATGAGCTGTGGAGTTTCTGGCCACCATAGTTCGGGAATTCGAGGGTCAAAGTGTCCGCTCCAGATTCAGAGATAATCGCAGTTTCTGATTCCCCTTTCCGTCATCCATAATCACGTTCAAAATAGAAGTTCAGACTTTCTGGACGGGCGTCACGCTGCCAGACGCAATGACGAAAGCTCAACGATGTGATACCTCGGAGCGGGAGCTAGGGACGATCGAGGATGTCTTGCTCTGGAGCATTTGATTGAAAAGGAGCTCACGAGTTGATTGTCTTTCACCTCGAAGCTTCTTACGCTGATCGCTTGCTCACAGACAGCTTTTGGCTTCATTCTACGAGTGTGAAAGGAGCTTCTTGCCGAACTAATAGCTTCGAACATTATCATAAAGCCCCTCAAGCTCTCAGTACCCATCACGGAATTCGAAGTATGATATCTTTCGCCAAGCTCAAGGCGAGCTCCGATTGTCTCAAGACGAATATTTCGGGAGGATGCAGATAGACACATTGCGACGATACTCAAACGGCTCGGACGTCTATCCGTACGCGGCAATGAGTCTCCCGCGTCAAAATGTCCGAGTCATGCCGGTAAACTCGTGATTCATGGCTCGAATATCCCTTCCCATTTGCATGCAGCCTCCCAAAGGAATGTCTGCGAACGAGGCTCTTGTCTCTTCGCACGGGAACCATGCTCGCGGGTGGGACCCTTTTGGAAAACCCGCAGAGTCCTTTTAGAGTCCATGAGACGGAATTGAGACCCTCGGGATTCGATTTGTAGCATCCGAAAAATTCGGAGTAAATGTTATCAAGGTCGCGTTCGGAAGCGTCTTGCTGTACCCAATCATCCGATTCCGAGGACGATAACGCGCCGGAGTCCAAATTTGGAAGCGTGAAAGCATTAGAACATAATGTTGTCATAGCGGCAGAAAACCAGAAAAAGCGAGGCGGTTCATATCGCGCACGGTCGCGTGCTTTTCTGAGACGAAATTTTAATCAGCACATCCGACTTGTCGATTAGCGACGAAGCGCGGTGTCCCGTACGAGTGCTACGAGCAAGACGATGCTTTCCGGAGCAGGTGTTCGTGGGGAAACTGCAACGTTCCCGATTCCGAACGACGATTCCAGAGTTCAGTGCTTCAGTGTTTCAGCAGGTGTCTGGGCAGTCACGAAGCTCACGCTGAACTGGCCGAAGCGCACAAGCTTCGATAGTTCCAATTATGCTCATCAGTGTAAAGAAGGGAGTGGCCGAAGTATTTCCACAGCAATCCATCATCGCTGTAAAAACCACTTAAGGTCGGAGGCTCTCGAGCGCCCGTTTTTTACGTTTCTGCAACGTTGTTTCTATAACTGCGGTTCCGAACGCGCGGATTCCTGTCAGCAGGGCACGATTCCTGCAATCGACAGCCGTATCCCCACGGAACCTGTTCGATGAGGAAGTTGCTGGTCCCAGAAACAGGAGAAAGTTGCATAAGGAGCGACAGAGGGTCAATGGAAACCGTCGTGGTCGATCGGCAAGTGAGAGCCAGACGCCGTTCCGGGGCTTTCTGGGTCGCCCACATTGACCGGTGTTGGCGCAGTAGAATCGCTTTGTTTTTTTGCCTCTTCTCGCCAGCCGGCAGTCCATCGGAAGATTTCAATTTGCACCAAACTTAAGTGGTCGCCGCCCGGCATCAGCTCGCTTCTCTGCCAACCCGCCCGGCTTTCTCAGATTCTGACTTGCTTGCTCGTGACCGTCTCAGGCCTTGAGTCCTCCGATTCAAAGCCACGACTGGCCTTGGTTCAAAGCGTGACAGAAAAATTGTCATTGCCCCTAGAATTGGGAACGGGCGATTTGGGTTACGTTGAAACTCATCTGAACCAGATTCGTGCGGCGGAGCCGATCCGTTCTTCAAACAGAAAACGATCATCCTTGTACCTCCTGCAGATCTCTGTCCACAAAAGCGTGAATGGGAGACACTTGAGAGATCCCCTGGCTGCCCTTTGAGCTCAGGATGTCCAGCTCTTCCACCGGAGAAAGTGTTTCTCCGATATACATGCATACAAGCCACAGACCTTCCTCTGTCAGCGAAAGGATGCTCCCTCCTCCGAGACGCAAATCGATCCATGACGCTCCGAATACGATTCATTTGGATGAAGAAATTCAGTATCGATCGAAGCAGTCACCAATTTTCAAGACGAACGAGGGAAGGAAGATCCTACAAAATTGTACAATCCCTCGTTTACGGTATCAGTGCTCCCCGAATGCCCGCGGACCGATGGGTGCGAGAGCACCGCCGCGCTCTTCGGCGGCCGTTCCCGCCCACCTCGGCAAGCAACAGCGACGAGAATATAATTGGCATGTATCTACATACTTAATGCCACGCAACAGTTTGTTCGTCTCGCGACGAGAAAGACTCAACTCGATTTTGAGAGCTGCCCGAAGAACAAACAAGCAAAGTGTGTACTTCGCGGAGCCGATGCGGTGGCCGAGCTCGGAACAACTTCCCTCTGCGCGACGTCCACGATGTCGGTGACAGCGGCGGCATCCGCGCCAATCTTCGCGCAAGCCTTTGCGTGAGCAAGCAGAGACGAGCATTCGCTCCTTGGAACTCTTCATGAGGAGGATTCTTTCGTCTCCAGCAGAGAATTAATGGATCTGAAATTTTCGAAAGCGAAACAGCACAGAACTGAATCTCATTTCAGTGCCATCGGAATCCCAGTGGCGATGCCAAATCGAGCGAACTCGTGACTCGTTCTTCTTCGCCAATCGCTTCGTATACGACTCTAGCTCATCCGCGCTACTTCAGAGTTTTATAGCAGAGCGAATAATTATTCCAGCAGAGACAAAGGGCATCGTTACGATCACATGGGTCCCGATCATTTCGATCGTCGGGTCGATATCCCATGCTTGAGAGCGGCCCCGGATTTCGCGGAAAGGAGAAGAGCCAGGTGCCCCTCCCGAAGGCTTCGTAATCAGTCGGAAAGTTTAGATAAATCGGAATCAGCCCAGGTCGATATCGGTATTTTCCCTCTCTGTCCCGATCAACGCGGATTTCGAATATATCGCCTGGATCCCTTCGGAGCCTAGGGTTGCGAGCTCGAAGTAGCGTACGTACTTTAAGAGAAGAAAACTCGCGTGTGGGCTAACTCGAGATGTCTGGCTCGGCTCCTCGGGACCCCGGAGCCCGTCAGCTGTCCGAGACGACGGAATCTAACTGCTTGAGGTTTTCATAAACGCTCCGAGATTTCGATCTGTGCTCGGAAGCCACGCCGAATCCAACCGATTAACGCCTCCCAAGGCGATTCTTTCACAGATGAACTCCACCGACGCGCGCTGCCGACGCCGGACTATATCCCGCCGTTGAGGAGAGCAATGCCCGACACGAACTCAGTTCCTCGGTACCTTCAAAGCACATATTCTGCCCGGAAAAAGATGCTCGAAGTTCCACCCTTAGTTCGAGCGCAACCGACAGTCTTCACCAATAAGACGAACACATTGAACGCGGCAACCGCTTCCTACAGCAATGGGTGAGCTCCAATCTCAAGAGAAAATTCCGACGACAAAGTTCCACCGCTCCCGTCCGGTGTTCACATGGAGCTCGGATCCGAAACAATCAACCCCCCGAAGTTGGTCGTGTTGCAATCGTGATCAACTAGATTATGATCCCCGACGAACGTTCCGTCACATCTCGAATCGCGGTAGCGCTCGCCGACCGAAGTGTGGGTGAATCGGTTATCGCATTGTTTCGTCAGGATTCCGCGCTTGTTTCTTCACGGAATTATGCACATACAATGTATTCAATGCAAACGTCGCTCCAGTGGTCGGTGCTAGGATTGAGAGACTTGAGTACATGTCGATCAGGCGGGAAAGAGCGCACCCTTGCCCGTTTGCAAGCGAAGAGTATAATTCTGTGAAAAGAGCGGCGTGTTCTTCTTCTAATCGTCTTTTCGTCGGTGTGTCAACTGGTGGCAATCAATCGTCTCGGAGAGAACAGCTCCGTACAAGTTATCAGCATGCCCATCTCTACGAGTTTCTGGCGTGATTTCAGCCGACCCAAATCCCGATCGCCGATTGAAGATCTCTACGCGACAGACGCGCGGCGAGCTCTAGTTACCTGTGCCACAGCGAGTAGTGCCGCCAAACAGAAGCCACCCGTCCACCTTCGCAGCGGACAAATGTATTCGCAATCGACTTCGAACATACAGAGATCGGTAGGTGTCGATTATCGAGTCGTACGCGAATCATCTACTGCGACGCGTCGATCCACTTAGCCCGATTCCTTGGACTCGGAATGTGTGCGTGGGCGGACGGAAATTGAGAATCTGTTTTCGAGCGTCGTCTCGCTCCGTCATTGGTACGGGTGCGAGTCGCTCGAGGTCAGGCCGTGACATCTACCATTCTCGATCCATTGCCTGAGCGACAGATAATGAGTACATGATGATGTCCTCGGAAAAAATACCAGAAGGATGCCCGCACGTACTTGATTGGGAAGAGTCTCCCGTCTTCAAATCACACTTAGCATAATGGGAACAAATCTCGAATTTACAGTCCACTAAGAAGAGCAAGTCGGGCTCGCAAGCTCGCAGCTCTTTGAAGCCTGCTACGTCGGATACCGAGCTCTCTCGCAGGAGCTCCTCTCCTTCGTACAGCTCGTACTTCAGAGAAACGTCCACAGCTTATCCAGAATACAATGGCTATGCGTCGAAATCATACACCTCGAGCATCATGCGCCAGAATTTACAACCTGTCACACTGAGTCCTCGCCTCGCGCGGAGGAGTCTCACCGCGCTGAACAGGTCAGTGATCGCCTACACAGGTCGTACTCCGCATATCCTATGAGTAGGGCTCGACTTCCGTCGCGGTCCGTGACCGTGACCGCGATTTTTCATTACATTGCGGGGCGTTTCCCCATAGAAAGTCTACGGGAGCCAGCAAATGCCGCGAATTTCCGATTAAAAAGCCGCGTCGGAATCCGAGCCCTACCTATGAGTATCCTGAGGTTCTTCGATAGTCTTTCGTACGAATGGCTGAGTGACGCTGAATTTATTCAAGCACCTCAGATCTCAAGGAACCCTGCCAAGGCAGTCGCTCATGAGGTTGAATGATTCTGTGAGATTGCCACGATCGCTGTCATCGTGAGGAGCATGGCGATGCACGGAGTGTTCCCGAGCGTTGAATTGCACCAATCCTTGTTGCAAATGCAAACCTCTTTCGTTATCAGATCATTCACTGATTCACGCCAGCAGCCCAGCTGGTTGGAGCGCACGCATCCCCACGTGACGTTGACGGTCTTCTCTGAGATTAGACTTCGCATGAGAACTCGAGAGATTGAGACCTCGCACATTTCCTCCGCGTATCGGGTACTCCTCCAATACTCTGAATACTCATACCTTTGGGATTCGAAGGATCGGTGAAATAATGCCATCGAACGCAATTTCTAGACACGAGCGTGTCACATGTATTGCAGAGCTCACTCAAGTCGTTGGTGGATGGGTATGTTGCCGTTTTCTGCAAGACGTGATCTCACTTCTGATTCCATCCGATTCGGGTAGATTTTTCGCAGATCCATGGTACTTCGCTACGGGGAATCTATGTAATTCGAAAAATCTTGCGGGCCGTGAGCACCTCTCTGCCGAAGTAAGGCTCATTGAATGGCATCCAGCGGATCGTCGTCATTCGCTCCCAATCCTTCTTGTCACTGCGAAGCTCGTCTAGAACTTCCGTCGTCATCTGATTTTACGGCGAGAGGAACAAACTTAGTGATCAGTGGGGGCGTCGTAACTCGTAGAGTGTCAGATAAGAGATTTTCAGTAAGATACCGTACGTCTTGGTCGGCCCACGAGCACTCGAAACATTTAGCTGCATAGGTGGCGTCAAACATCACGAGCGTGACTGGAATAGTATGTCAGTCATTACAGTGGAGAAGATCCGAGATGAGCGAAGAGAAACAGCTATAGCACTATTCTTCTGTTAGCTCACCAAGAAAAGTGTCCGAGACGATCATGTCGGAATTCATCCGAGACGAATGCTCGAAGTTTCGAGTTGAGCTTGGCGCTCCAACGCCCTGGGAAGATTTACGACCGTAGACAAATCATTCACGAGATAAAGCTTGTCTTGTGGCGCCCTGGCGGGATTTGGGCAAATCGTAGGTAGATCCTCCTCGTTCGACGCATGCGAAGTCCTAGGAGTACTCATTATTTCTGCGAAAAGTCGAGGAACGCATGCCCGAGATCAAGTGATAAACATTGAGTTTGCCTTCCATAGGATACATGTACTTATTCGATTCCAGACTGACGCAAATCGCAAACGAGGGTCGTAAGAAGCTCGAGGCGAGCTCACCTGCGAAATCAAGTTCCACTCTGAGGAGGAACGGGACTTTCACGAAAGACGAAGATCATTCTTCCCGCCACGTGATCCGAAGGTCCGTACCAGGACTACGAGCAAGATCTACCGAATCCTGCATACGGAATCTGACATCTATCGCTGTTTTGCGACATTTCAGGAGCACCACTTCGACATCTACCCGCCAGAGACCGGTATCCATAGCGGCAACCGGTCTTTGGAGGAGCTCGTACACCAAGTGATGCTGAGTAGCGGACGGTAAAACAATGGAATCAATCGTCCGTGACAGTCGGCACCCCTTCCCCCTGCTGAAGCCTATGTCGGCTGCTGATACACATCTAACCGTATTTACATCGTACCTTACTCTAGAAGATAAGCAATCTGATATCCGAGGGGAGCACCGTATAACCTGAATAAAAAATCGCTGTTCATGACACGCTAGTTCGGTTTCCGGCTCGTCAAGCAACTCGAGATCGTTGCGGCATAGGTAATCATTGAAACATCCAGATGAGACGCAATATCAGGCTCGGGATCCGCAAGCTTCCCGCATCAATCCGACGAATATTCATACTCAACGCATCCAGCTCTCCTGCGGCCACCCGCAACGAAAAGCCACCGATTCGGACGACGGCTCGACACCCCGCCACCCGAGATAATCTCCGAGAGGCAACAAACGCAGTCGATTCACCTTGTACATCGGATCAGCTTTCGAGATCATTCCGACATCGATATAGCGTCGCTCGGAGGCGAAGCCATACATACATATACATATGCATGTCGATGTACGGAGAACAGCGGTAATCCACGAAGGACGGAGATATTCATCTTTCGAATCTCATAGAGTACGAAACATGGAATAAAGCATGATTAATACCGATCTTCATCATTGATCAATTACTCTCTCACACATTACTCTCTCAATTCTCTCTCCTCAGAAATCGGGAGTCCAGTCAGAGAACCGGGAGTCGAATCCTATGTTAAATTCCGCGATGTGCGCAGGCTAATATCGAGGAGGGCACGACGACCAGAAGGCATTCGTAGAAATAGGCTCTCCTCCGCGGGCCCACCCCCGGAGTAATTCATTGATACTTCTGCAGTGAATCCGCCCAGGAGCAGATCACCACGCAGGTTGTCACGATTTCGGTCATCCCAAAGCAGATGGGATCTTCGCGATTCCGACTTTCTGACCGATAATGACTCCTCATACAGCACCGCGCGGCATTCTTCCCCCAGAGGCTTCGGAGTGAATGAGAATGATCGAGGTCTTCAGAGAAGTCAGGACGCTTCTTCACCCGTACAAGATTTTAGCTTACAACCCGACCTCAACTCCGCGACTCACCTTCCAGAGTTCCGGGGATCGCTGTGGAACCGCTAGACTCTAAAGAGAACCCCCGGATTCTCCGACTTCCTTCACTGGATTTCCCTCTCTAAGCATCATAGTATACAGGCAATCCGCGGCACTCTGGCATTTCGGTGAGGTTTTCCCAGCATTCCGAGTTTGAGCCTCTCAACACGTTGTTACGGCTCGTTCTGCCACGGACGTGTCGCGCAACTTGATTTGTATTCGGACTCCACCCCCAGGGATCTTGAGTACTGTCTGTGCGCGATGAGACAGTTGTCGACAGGCATGATAGACTCAAATCAATGGCATGCGAGTCCCTCGTCCGAACCGCTCCCATGAGTTGAGCTGGATAATGTCAGCATTGGATGAGCCCGATTTTCAAAAGGAGTTTGAGACCCTCCACTCGACCACATATGGAAAATTATTGCGCAAAGGAGGCGGGGAAGAGGAAGATATCATGATTCCCAACGAGAAGAGAAGTGCGAGAACCCGCCCCTCCGCGCTCGCGAGAGCACCGTCGAGGGAGAGAAGGGATGGTCGTCTGCTAGAGAATCGAATCGTCGTTGTCGGCAAGCGCATATATTTTTTTCACTTACGAAATCTCAGCGCGGAGGTGCGCTTCCGCATTCGTCGTTGGAAGCCGCTGAACCTTTCGTAGGGAATCAGGAATGGATGAAAGCTTCAGACATGATAACATGTCGACAAACGCTCAATAGAACGCTTAGAGCGCATGATTAGGTTTAGTTCCATGATTTAAGCAAGGAAGCCTTCCGAGAGAAAAGAGCCATGTTTTCGAGAACAGCCGGCAAACTTCAGCCGTCAAGGATTTTCCGCTGTCTGATCACTAAGTCAACTCTAGGTATCCCGCCCGCGAGAACGATGGCTGATGTGACGATCATTGGAGCTTTGGACGATAATTACATGTATCTCATAACTTGTCCCGAAACCAAAGAAGCTGCGATTGTTGATCCCGTCAATCCGGAAAAGGTGAACCCTGCCGAACACCCAAAACGAAAACCCTCAATGAAAATCTCCGTGTTTCCAGTTTCATGTCGCGTGGTGGTCCTCCTGAGACCCACTCACCTACTCATTACTACTTCAAGGTACTCGAAACGGTCGAGAAACAGGGTGTGAACCTCACGACAGTTTTGACAACTCATCACCATTGGGATCACGCGGGGGGGAACGAGAAACTGCTTCATCTGAAACCGGGCCTGAAAGTGTACGGAGGTGATCACCGAATCAAGCAGCTCACCGATCTCGTCAATCGAGATGAGGTTGAGATAAAAATAGGCGAGTACATGAACGAGTCGTGGGAAGAGTAATCACAGACCGAGGAATAATTAGGTACGATTGTATGAGGGGACGCGCACATTCTGAAGGGAACCAACGAGCATCAATTTTTTATCGCAGGTGCCTTGACCGCGAGCACGAGATTCACCCCCTGCCACACGACAGGGCACGTGTGCTTCTACATTCCCGGAAAGGAGGACAAGCCGCCCGTGGTTTTCACAGGGGACACACTCTTCCTGGCTGGATGCGGGAAGTTTTTCGAAGGAACAGCTGCGCATATGCAAGAGGCTATGGATAAGCTCGGTCAGCTGCCGGATGACACTCTTGTCTACTGCGGGCATGAGTACACAGTCAACAACTTGAAGTTCGCTCAGCAAGTGGAATCAGACAATCAAAACGTTAGTACGGCCTCCTGCGGCGAGCAATATCCGCACGGGGATCCCTCGCACTCGAGAGAGAGGATTCGAAAATCCTTAGCTCCCGCCCTCATTTTGCGCCTCTAGAATTACCCGCCTCTGGGATTTTGTTCCCGCTCGCCGGCAGTATCGGGAATCCAAGCCACTGAACTCGTAATGCACGGCCATCCCCAAAGGATGCGAATTCCACATCAGAACCAATTTAAGGATTGATAGATTCGAAAATTATTCCACAGACGCAGCGAAAACTCGAGTGGGCCATTGCACGCCGTTCCGCGCATCAGCCGACGATTCCATCGACGATTGCCGAAGAGAAGACCTACAATCCTTTTATGCGCACGAGAATTCCCGCTGTCCAGAAGCATGCCTCTCAAACCGACGCCGTCTCAACAATGGATTCCCTACGATGTGAAAAGGACAATTTCAGAACATCTTGAAAGCGACAGCGGTAAACGGATCGATTCGTAGTTCCGGCGAGGAAAATCTATGAGCTCGACCGGAAGAAGCTTGCAGTAGTTCGAGAGGACCATGATGTAGCTCGCACTCACTTATTCGATTGGGCATTCCAGACCAGACAGCAATGGCGTCTTAGTCGGAGAGAAAACAGGTATTTTTTCGGACCGGCTTCGCTTTGAATAAGATGAGATGCTCGTGACATCTGAGAGGACGGATCGGAGAGGGGAGGGTTTTTCTAAGCGTCTCCCGAGCAATAAAATCCCGCTCGGGAAGAAACGTGGCGTGATCTCTTTACGGATGTCCCAGCTGATCAGCTGACGTCATCTTCCCGAAGGCTAGATTGGCGATTTCTCTTTAGCAGAGGTGAGGAGCTCCTGGGATCAAGTGACCGTCCCGGTGGGCGCCTGGGTCTCAGCTGGCCGTGAACGCAACGCAGCTTCGGAGCAGGTTGTTCACCAGAGCGTAGTTCGGTTGTTAGTTGATGGTCCGAGTGGATAGATCGACCTTCAGGTGGGATCCATGGACCATGGTTAGGGCTGTAAGAAAGTCGCGGAGGTCGCGGAAGTCGCGGAAACCGCGATTTTTAGCGGTCTCGGTTGATTTCCGCGATAAACGTAAATTTTTCCGCGACTTCCGCGACCTCTATTTTCCGAAGGAAAGAGGTGGATTTATGGAGTTTCGTCAATGACAGCCTCATCGCTAAGGTTTTCCAATAACTTCCCTTCGATCAGGGAGCTCTGGCGGAACAGAATCAGCTCGAATCCGTGATCTCCCTTGACCAGGGTGCGGTCTCCAAGCTATACACATAGGTATGTGCATGCCGTCTCGCTTCCGATAAGCGCCATTCGAAATCTTCGCTCGCAAATGATTATATCCTCTCCGAAGGAAGCTTACAGCGACAGCCAGCTGCCTACATGCTTCCGTCTGGTGGAATACGTGCCGCGCTCGGTTAGGTTGCCGAAGAAAATGACACCTCAAAACAGGGCAAAACAGTTCGACCCACGAGTTTTCCATGTGTCGGGTGGCCATCTCTTCTGCCGTAGCTGCAACGTTCCAGTAGATTATATGCGCATGAGCTCTTTGTGGGTCCTTGCCCGCATCTTAGCCCGGGCAGCACATGCGGACTCGACTAGACCGCAGGAATATCTGGTGACATGTTGTAGCAATGCCTCCCAGTCTCAATCTCACTCTACCGTGACATTTCTGAGCGTTGAAACCGACTCGGTGTTCTGAGGAACCTCCCCTCCGACATTTCCGCGAATTCGCAAGCGATTCGATCGATTTCCGCGATTTTCTGTATTTTTTTCCGCGACCGTCCGCGATTCCGGCCATTTTTTTCCGCGAAAAGTTTACACCCCTAACCATGGTGGATGGAGCCTCGAAGCAGCGCCGTGACCAGCAAGAGCCTTCTCGGGAAGCATTGGCATAGTCTGCGGTTTCCTGTTCTCCATAAGCGTCAATGATCAATGAGCCGGAGTCTGAGCTGGTGTCCAGAAGCGGAATATAGGTTCCCTTCCTGGGAAGTCCTCTGATTCTCGAACGAGTCGGAAACGTCTCCATCTACAGCGGAATCCTCCGCTTGACCACGATAGAGCTACCTTGAAACTCTATCGGCACTCCGGCCTCAAATCGATGACCTTAGTCTCATGGCCTTAGAATCTCGGAATTCGTGCAATCTTCAAACTCCGGAGGTCGAAAGTTCAGGCTCTGAAAAGCTGGGGAAAAGGTACGCAGAAAGGCTCTAAAAAGTGATGAAAAAGCTAAATAAGGCACGGGAAGCGATTGGGGGGGGGGACTGAATGATTCACGGAGAAGAATATTGAATTGGGGCTCTTCATTCATAGCGTCCGGCATTTTTCCATACGTCATTCGGGTGCAAGGCGCTTCCACGTAGGATCCAGAAATCTTTCTCGGGAACAAGGCGTGTAGCGAATAGGATCGGCAACCCAGGCAACCGCTCCGAGAATCGGCCAACTTTACAGCTCGACCTGAAACAGGGAGCAGCACCATCCGGCAATTTCATAAGGGGAAATCAAGACTTGTGGCGACGAAATGAAATGGACTTTTCGCCTCTCAATCGGATGGAGTCGGGGCCGAGTGTATAACATCATCGGAAACTGGGACTTAATTCTTGAGCCATGAAGTTCCTCGAAAAACTTGGCGATTGAATCATCGGGATCACCGTCTGGCAGCTGTCCCGACGGAGAATCCTGATATTCTGATCGGCGAAGAGGCGAGAAAGGGGAAACTTCCGAAACTTAGAAAAATTCAAAATGGTTTCGAGACTTCAAAAAGGCGTTTTGAGGCGCTCACGGCATTCCGCCTTGAGTTTCAATCTCTATCCCAAGAAGGACGCCGATGGGGGGACTCTCCGTGTCGAAGGTTCGCAGAAGCCTGGAGTGCTTCCGACGGAAGCAGAAGTCGTCACCGGAAGGGAGGCCGCAGGTGGCCGCGAGACGTACCGAGGAAGTACCAACGTACCTCAATGATTCAGCATAACCAAGGCTCGATTCTACGCGATACCCCAGGGGATGTTGCAAGAACTTCCATGGCTCATCTCGATCTATATCTGAAGTCTTATAAGATGCGCAGAATTGTCCGATTGCCTCTCGAGCGCATGTCTGCGCCCAGGGCTAAGCTTCGTAAGTCGGGAAGACGAAAGAGTCTATCTCGAGACATATGTTCTACCATTGGCTTTGTGACTGATTGTACGATTCGGATCGACCTCGCGGACGTGGGTACGTTTTTGGTACATTCTCCGACGGTCGCTCCCCCGCGTTTCCCCCGAACGCAGGCGCGACGGAATACCATAGAAGCTCGGTGCTTCGAAATCGTGGCTCGATTCCTTCAAAGGAATCTTGAATCCCGTCCGTGCCCGGCAGTGTTCCTCCTACACAAATAAGAGCGTCCTGATTCGACCTCCAAACAACACGGGCACTGATCGACATCTATAGATATCCTCCCCTCTATTCGAAAGGGACTCTGAGGTCCGAAAATTCCGAGCAAAGACCTTGGCAAGCACTGACGATCGATCGGGTCGATGCATTCGACGAGAAGATGAACCCCGAATAATGTTAAAATTCCGGGTTTTATTTGCACATGCGAGTACAGGTAGGAGTTCGCTTCGCAGTCGAAGCTAGGTATGTTTTTGCTCCGAACCCGCGCGAATCTTCCGGGTTTCGCTGACCAGTCGAATCAGTCACAGATGATGTAAACGATGAGTTTTGAAACTGGGCCGCCCGGCCGGTTTCGACTGATTACGCTCCGAATACTATATGCAAAGTTATGTTAAAGGACTGAGTCTCACAACGATTGGTGATGTCCGCTCGTCTCATTACGAATCGAGGTGAAAGTTTTGTCGTCGAGGCTGCATTCTCGCATTAATAACGGCAACGATTACGAAGGGGGAATATCTTGATTTCAACAAGCCATTCAAACATGTTTATGTCATTTGTTGCTTTTTAGGTGGGATCTTGTGCAGTTTCTGTATCCGTTTCCGTAGCTCCGAAGGCAGCTTCTCGTAGCACCGCTTGCATACCGGTTTCAAATCGAGTTCGTAGAACTTCGTTCTGGAAAGTAGATGCGAAGTTGAGCAGTGTCTCAGACCGTATTCAAGAATTACCAGGCGAGACTTGGTTCTATTAGGCCCATTCGGCCTGAGGCTTGTTTCCAGACGGTACTGTCGGATCGAGAGCCCGAACGTTACTTACTTTTGATTCATTTTGTCGTTACAAATGGAGCACGCGAAATGATTGACGCACCAGGCTTTCTCCAGAGCAGTGAATACATCTCCCTCGATGACCTGCGCCGAGAGAAGAACAGAGTTACTGCCGAACTGATCGCTCTCATCGAGCGCCAGAAGCTCGATCGGTCTTTCATAGATGAAAGATAGTCTCTCATAACCAACACAGCAAGTTTACCTTGTTGCACGTATAACATAAGTTTCCGAACAGCTGATGATAGTGTGTTTCACAGTAGGCGAGACCTTTCTTCTCGAAATGCTTGTGGCCCATGAAGGGTTTCTCGCATTTGGCGCAGACGAAATGCTGTTGGAGAAAGGAGATATCCGCTGAGATTAGCAAAACAATCTGGATCTTGACTATTCCCCTGCTCATATCGGAGTCCCTATCCGATCGTCGGCACTGGGTTGAACCTACAAACCTCAACGTGGAAATGCTTCCCCAGAGCAGTAACGACTCGCTCTTCGATAGGTCTCCGGCAGGCGCCACAGATAGGGATTCCCATTTTATCGTGGCAACGCAGACAGTATAGATCGCCTTTCAGCTCACGTGCATCCGACGTCAACTCGGCGCTACATGTGGTACAGTTGAAATGATAAGCGTGGAACGGCTCATTCCGCCATTTCAACGGCTTGTCGTCGATGATACCGCTGCAAACAGATGTTGTTGAGTGTCACTCTCACTGATCAATCAGGCGCATCGGATTCGTTCGACTGGGACCGTGTCCGATTCGAGTATTTTACTCACTGGCACTTGTAGCAGATGTGCTTGCCGATGGCGGCCGCTTTCTCGCGGGCATTGCAGTCGTGACACAGAGCCCGATTGGCGTTTTTGATGAAACCACTATCCGATAGGCACTGGTTGCAGATTTCACAGCAGAAGCAATGAGGATGCCAGCTCTTATTCATGGCTTTAATTACTCTCCCGATGATGAATTCATTACATTTGCCGCACGACGGCGCGTACAACACGTGGAAGTCGTGCTCACAGTATTTCCGGCCTTCGAACTGGAACGGGAGGAAGTTGCATGAAGAAGGAGAAATTGTTGACTTAGAGGTAAGAATGGATATCCTAGAATTTCCGAGTACCTCGTAGAATATTCCATCGGGGAAAGGTTTGAAACATTGCGCACAGACGAAACATTGCTGATGCCAGGTTTCGCCATGCGACTTGACAATTTTTTCGTGCGGCTCGAAGCCTTCATTGCACCGATGACAAATCATCGATGACAGAGACATCACAATGGAGCTTGATGGATCACTGTAAAGAGAGAAGCAGCGTTCAGTCAACCATTCGTCGATGCGTCTTCTATTTCATCTTCTCTCTGACTCGGAATCGAAAGGGACTTGAGACCGAGAAGAGACTCGACCTCTGGATCTTCATAACAAAAAACGCCTGAAGCCGGATCGTAATGCATAAGCCTCTAATGCTAATAGGCACAGTCGAGAGTACATTCTGTAATCGATCACTCTGACGCGCGAAGCATTCGTCTCGATCTCCAGGCTGAGCACTAGACTACCCCATGGAGCCTGATTGAAGCCATAACCATGAATCTGATTAGGAGGCTCTTCCCCGGATCCAGACTCGCAACGTTCAAGGCGAAGTGGGTAGAAGAACCCTCTCCCTCCTCTCCGAATCCGTGACCAGCATCACGGGAAAGAAGCTGTCGACTCTGAATAGCGAAAAGCACGAAAAGAGCCGACTGAATAAATAGTTCTCAGCGGGCCTGCATTCCGTCTAAACAAGACACCGCCTCACACTAGAGTGATCTGGAAGCTCTCATCGCTGGATCGCTCTCGATAAGAGCGTCTCTATTGGCCCAGTGATCATATGTCGGTATCACTTGACATATCTGTGCGGAGATCACTTAACTATTCCGAGGAGATTGGCTCCGCAAATTACATTCCACGCTGGGAGCAAGCAAATTCCGGACTGTTTATTTCAGGAAAAGTCCCCTCGGCGTAGGTGGTATGCAGGAGAACAGAAGCGACGACCCAGGATAATCCCAAGGATAATGTTCACCCTTCATCTCACTGCTACGGAGGAAGGGTTACGTCTGATTGAACGGAGGCGTCGCCGTCGCTCGAGAATGCAAGGCTCAGATACTTGTTTCTGCATCGACAGGAGCATCGAGTCAACGTTGCCAAGAATCTCATCATCGAGGACCGAATCCTTGATTCAATCAGGATCTGACTTATGTCAGTTTAGCCCGAGTTTGTCGAACCGCGAGCCGATAAAGTTTCCGTCTGCGATCGCCGAGAAGGATGGAGTCACACCGAAGGAATAGTTTGGGAGTTTAAAGTTTACGAGCCCCTGCTCAATAATACGATCGAGATGTCCATCGCTCAATATTCGTAGGTACTCGTAAAATAACTGGGGGACAGAATGCGCCATCGGAAAACGCCACAGTCTGATGAATTAGGATTTTCCTTGAACGTACTTCACCGGGGTTGCCAGGACTGGAATGTCGGGTATGCCCCCTCCCCCCGAGGAACCACTCTCGCGGAGAGATCCAGAGCTGAGACTTCCGTTCGGAGTAGATGCTCGAATTTGATTTCTCCGAGGAGGCACAGGCGGTCCGAGAACCCCATACTCTGCCACATCGTATTCGCTCTCGATCGACAGGTTGGCCAGTGCTGACTCGAGGTTTTCGTACAGAGGATGAGCCGTCTCCTGGTGCTGTTTGTGGAACGGCGAAGATTCCATTCTGATGACACGAGAGTTATTCGGCTCAGCGGAGTCTCTGTCCGGCGCTCTATCCGGGCTCAGAAAACAAGAGACGTCAACTTGTACACAGCACGGTTTCCCTGATCATCATAGCATCGTGAGTTCACTTCCTCGAAGGCGTTCACCATGGAACAGTTCTACCACGAAGCCGCTGTCCTGCCAATTGCACGCTAGAATGAGCGGATGATCTATGTAGAACGCTCTTCCAACATCACCACACTCGAAACGAGATTCAGCTTCCACTGTTTATAGGCAGTAGTTCGACATGGTGACGTGAGAGGGCGCCGCGGTTTTTCTTGGACGCCATTTTGGAAACGGTTTCGTTATTCTGTGTATTGATGACAGCTCTTTTTCTCATGTCAGAGAGGAGACTTTGCCCCCATGCGACCACGGAACCCGAGAATCCGAGCCAACGTGTCAGCGAAAGATGAACTTAGATCGATCATGTCTGGTGTACTCTGAGTATCTCGCGCGTAGGCTACCCCTTCTCAATGATTTCACTTGAGCCAATGCCGCTCCCGAGCTCATAAAAAAAGAAGATCGGTATTTCCGGCTGCTTGATGAAATGAACCCTCCCGTCGGTATCGATAATGTTTCTTCCTTATCAGTTTCGGAGCGGCTGCCTCCAGGAATCGCGCTAATCTTCCGGCTCGGGGGCATCGGGAGCCCCGGAATCCTCTGGAATTATTACAGCCTCCTCCATTAAGCTTGAGAACAGACGGGATTTCTCTCGACTATTCCCATTGATATTTGGGGTTATCAAGAATTGCAGCATTGCTTACACTGAAGAGAGTGACATCCACGAATGTGTCGACGCGACGGAGCGGTGCCTCGACGCTACATATCTACTTTTGTTCACTCTCACGCTCACGATTAGGCATCCGATTCTCCGCCAGATCCTCGGTTCCTACAGAGCTTGTCGAAGGCGAGCAGGTGGTCTTCGAGAATTCGACGTCGAGCTATGCAATTGGTTTACACAGATCATAATAGAGGGAGGATTCCATCGGCCTTCACGATTGGACGCCAGTTTTTCTATGCGAACGAAAAGCTCTCGGCTCCAGTCACCCGGATGGAAGACTCGATGAACGCGAAGCGAAGTAGCTGGAAATTCTCGGGATCAGACTGAGCTTCTCCTTCGACGATCGAGTTCGTGGTCCGTCTTGGGGGAAATTCGGGATGAATTCGTAAAAGGATCTCTCGCTCAATAGAAACTCTCGCGCTCACCGACCGACGTGGTGTGTTTCCGGGGGGGGGACGGCAGCGATCGAGGCCGCGGTCGATTGCAAGAAATTCCAAGCCATGGCACGTAAATCAGGAAAAAGGCCGCCCTCAAAGCTCATCATTCGAAGAGTATACAAATCGGGACTCGTATCCAAATGAGTTCGAACACCCCCTCAGAGCATGCGAGCTGGTTCAAAAAGCGATATCATCGGCACAAATTCAAGCACGGGTCCTTCGGCTGACTTTCCGATTTCTTCCGAACTATCCAAGAAGAAGAAAACAGCATGTCTATTCCAAGAGAAAGTCGAGAGCCCCGATCCGAGACTTCCTGTCTCTTGAAATCTACAGGAAATCCATTTCGGAAACGTAGATATTGCGGATTCAGACGGTGAGTCGGATATCAAATCTGCAGAGTTCACCGTCGTAGATCTTGACTCTCGCAATCGTTTGTCAATACTCCGAAATACTCAAACGTCCGTGTAAACATGATCTATGTCTCTGGTGAGATCTGCGGTCGTAACGCTCGTCAGATTCCGGTGCTATGCTCGTGCGTCTTGATGGAGCTCTTTCCCTGAGCGAATCTGATCTCATCAACCGAATGGATTGATCACTGATATGTACTACCATTGTCGGTGCGAGTCACCTCTCGTTGGACACTCATCGACGGCGGCATCTAGATACCACGAGGACTTTCGACCCGCCGTTGTGAACAGCTGACGTACCCACGCGTAGCGTACAACCGTTTACGGGTATACAACCGAATACGGCAGCTCATTCAGAATCCCATGTTTGCGTTATGCGACAGTGGCTTAGACACCTCTAGTGGTTTCCGTTTCGCTTGGCCCGATGTGCTGCGCGCTGTGTTAAGTTTACATAAGGCGGCGCACAGTCAAGGAGGCAGGCAGACCGACAGACAGACTGCCTGCTAGGTTGGTGCCGAACGAGACAAGCATTGAGACGAAAGCGAGGCTATCTAAGCCCACAGCATTCGAGGGCGGAGTGATTCGGACCTACTTCCGCTGTTCGGTCGAGCCACGTTTATTGTCATAGGCTCCCCTCTCAACGGGTGAAATGTCTTCCAACCGATCCGCTTCATGACTGATGTTCGGCCAGCTACAGGTCGCGCGGAGAAAATTGTATTCTCACTCCGCTCTCCGAAATCACTTATTTCTTCCACGCGGTCAGATATTCTCGTCGATATGATAGACAGGAAGAGGAGCACGGAGACAAGGAATAACTGCTCGATCATGGTATCGAGCTAGCATCATAGAGCCGTACCAAAGTCGCTTCGTGGACCAGGTATGATATTCGAGCAGGTGCTCGACCTCCCAAATCGGTCTGACTGGCGATGGTTGAGACATATTCGGGTTCGTCGAGCGGCGCTCGCTACCTCGGAAATTCTACAGATCCTCCCGCCTGTGCAGCAGGGATTGTCTCAAGGATCAGAGCGTAAGAGAACGAACATGACGACTCAGTTTGGCTCCGTCCAGCGGCCGTTGAGAGCATTGAGTGCGAACACAATGAGAATGAAAACAGTGGGATCGTGTTATGACACTTCTCGCGCTATAACTCGGGGAGCATTCCCGGAATCCAGAGCGGTCGTCGTCTCCAGATATGGAACGGATACATCTCCGAAATCTCTCCCCGGTCGGACGTCGGGGGAGAGATCTCCGGTCTCTCCGAGGGAGCCTATCTGCCGCGCAAGGAAGCAGGGGGCACAGGGAGAAGAAGAAGAAGAAGCCGTCAGCCACAAATCCGAACAGATCTGAATAGTGATTCGGGAAGCTCATTGTGAGAACCAAAGATTCCCAGATACTGAATGACGCATGACACGCGCACGGATCCCGCGAGACACTATCGATCCGTCCCAATGATCTCTGAGTCCGTGTGGCGTTTCAAGATATTGATTGTAGTCACCGGACTCCAGAAGAGAACAAAGATGAGGCTGATCGAACAGAAACATCGATTCAGTCTGTTGAAAGGTGTCATGCTTACCGATCTGGATGACTGCGCTCGACAGCTTGATCACACGCTCAATGTATGGAGTTTGATCCCGTGTATTCCCGTTCTACAAATGTTTTCACGCGCACCCACTACTGGACAGCACTCGTGCGTCTCGCGAAAATCCTATACGTTCACTCGGCGCCTAATTTTCCGGACTCAAACAACGGCTGCGAGAGACTGGCAGCGGTATGAGCATAGAAAAGAACAGTTCTGTTCCCGCCAGCTTTGGCCAGCTTCAATGCCCACACAGTACTACGCGGCGGTCTGCCATGAGTGGGATGCGGCCGTCGCACCGCGCCACCGCCGCCGCCACCACCATAAGCGAGCCCGCAGTCGGACAACCTTTTCCTCCGATCGCAATATCATCGATGATTGATGTCGGCTTCAGACCGATTGCCTCAATTAATACAGCTCACAAATTGCCTCTTGGCCCCGCTCATCATGTTTGGACAGAATAGCGCGCTTAGATTCCCTATGCCAGCTTTCGCATCCACTCGGTTCAAGCTCAAGAATTACAAGAATCACGACGAATGGTTGCGAGCTTCATCGGAAAGGTATTCTCTGCTCTTTGAAAGTTATTCTCAAATTGACTCACTCCCAAAAGTTTCAGCATTGCCCCTATGAATCATCATTCATCCCACCGTTGACGGAGACTTCCGAATCGAAACCGGAGAAATCCCGCGTTAGCATATGCGCAAGCTGGACAGATTGATACTATTAAGCTGTTTTCTTGGAGCTCTCTTGGGAGAATAAAAACACAAGCCGTTAAGCACACATGACATTTCAGCAGTTTTAGTATGACCAACAGACTTTAGGTTGATGATTATGCGCGGTCGCCGAATCCATGGCGCAGAGCGAGAAACAGGACACAAGAAGCGAAGTTCACAGCAAACTCACAGACTCCGGAGATGATCGCTGATCGAATTCACAAAAATAAGAAATGAGAATATCTCTCACTTAGTCAGACGAATTTGGTCATCCCCATCCTTGTCGTGGTGAGAGTAGCAGTAGCGGCCGGTCTACGACATTTGTCCTCAAAACATCAAAGGGAGAGGGGAGTGGACGGATGCTTTTTTTACCCGTCCCGCGAGTCCCGGGTCGATACTCAGTCCAATTATACAGCTTCTAACCCCCGAGCTCTGTGGGGCCCCTGCCCAGAAGAAAACTAACACGGAAAACCCTCGGAGTCACATTTTATTTCTCCACGTCTCCTCTCCGCTGTCTGCAATGTTTTGAGGAGAGATGACGTATTCATATGTATATCCGTCAACCGCGAAGATCCGAATTTCCGACTGCTTGGAGTCTGGGACTTCCGGAAAGCTTTTCGTTATGTTCCGCGTGTGTTTGAGACACCTCGCTACCGACTCATTTACCTCGCTACGACCTTGAACTTTTGATAGTGCAAACTACACAGTAGTTCTGTCGATCGGGGAGGGGAGCGACGACTTCGATGATTTCCAGCGAGTGGCTGCGATGAGACGCTTCGCCCGGATCATCCAGGCTCAAATGATCGGCTTCTTCGCGGGGGAAGGGCGGAGTATGTCAAACCGAGTTGCTGCCGGGTGGCGCGAGACACGAACAGTCTCGCTCCCCCATATTCGACAATCGCCATCCAGTCACAGGCAAAGATAACCATCATCATCAAGTTCGATTACGGATTTGCATTTTCATCATCCCTCCCTCAAGCCCCAATGTGCGTCCTGGAGTTTGCGACCTCTCAGATGACACAAGACCTCTGGAGCGCGTATGAGCTCGTCGAGCACCGATTCACACCCAGGAAGCTGAGCTTTCTCGCGCGAAGATCGATAAACATTCAAAACTTCCCGCGCCCCACGTAGTCCGAATTCTCATGAGATGCTTGGGGGAGAATTCGTAGATCCCGGGTCTAGGAGTTCAATGCATGAGACCCATTGTCGAGTGAAGCCTTCCAAGCGTTTTGCGTAGCGATGTCGCTGACTTGCTCTCAAAAAGTCAGCTGATCGGTGGAGAGGGTAGGTTCCAACGTGTCAGCTCTCTGCGCCACCGGTGCATTCACTACGACGACATCTTTGCTGCTTTGTTTAGTCGAACGGTTAAGGAGAGCCCTTCACTGGTGGTTCAACTCTGCTGGTGACTTTCATCGACCGAAGTTCTTTGTTTAGAAACTCCCAGAGTCCATCTCGCACAAGCAATGGATCAAGTTGAAGTGTACCTCCGCCCGGGGAAAGAATTCGTGAAGGATTCGATTCGTTTGGTGAAACGTTGCACGAAACCCGACAGGAAGGAGTTCAAGAAGATCGCAATAGCCACGGCGATCGGTTTCGCCATCATGGGCTTTATCGGCTTCTTCGTGAAACTGATCCATATCCCCATCAACAACATCATCGTCGGCTCCTAATCAAACAAAGAATACGGTTCAGATCCTGTGTAACCCGTCTTAGAAAACACCCCGATCGGAACAAGCGGAGTCAACTGTGACGTCAGCAGAATGTCTCAAATACATCTTCGATTCGAACAACACTACGCGGTGGAATATTTTACAGCCTATATGATTCCCTGGAGGGAGAAGCGTACCATTTAATCGTCTTCGTTTGTATGTACAGATGTATAATTAATAAACTTGAGCGGTCGACTCAACAGAAGGCTGTGTTGGGCGCGACGTCAGAGCTCCTCTAGGCTTCTGAGATTTTCAGTGGGTCAGTGGACACCTGGTACTGGAGTCCCTCGCGCCGTCGCTCCCATGGATGGGATTCGACAAAGAGTGATTGGGAGCCGAAGGTGGGGGGCGTGAGCTGAGCATGTCAATTACCTGGGCCCTGAATGACGGGATGGCACCAACTTTCGGCTGAGGTGCTCTCACTTACCCCTCGCCAGACACTTTTTCGATCTCGATTGCTCGACCATAGCGAGGTCAGACCCCGAATACGGTCAACTTGATTGACTGTCATACCCCCAGAGCTTGAGGTGACGAGAGACTCTCAGGGGCATTACAAACTTACCGATATTGCACATCCGATTCGACCGGCCGTCTCAGCTCACGGATCGAATTGACGGCTTATCCGAGGCTTGGATAATCACTCACCGGCCCACGTGGGAATACGGAACTACAGGATCTGATCGATGCATTCCCAGACCGCCCCGTTCATCACCGCGGGAACCTCGCTTCGGAACTCATAGCCTCGGAATGGGCTATGGACGAGATGTATCCATCCTGGACATCAACAACCTCATCATCGATGATCGCGTAAATTCAGGCTGAGAATTTGGACGACTCGCTCCTGAAGGAGCTTGGGGGCTTGAGGCGATCGCGAGATCTAGACGAACGGGGTCGGCGCGTGGTGCTACGCGAGTCATTCTTTGAAATTTGGAGACCTCTGCACTTGAGCGCTGAAAAGATCTTCGAGAGTCGAGATGAGAGGCTCATACTCTCACCCTTTCGAAACGTTTTCTCATATCCATCCTTATAGATGGGACCGGTGAGAGATCCTTTTCGAGAATCTCCAGGGCGTATGCGGGCGTCAAATCAGAGGCCGTAGCCCCGGCTCCTCGTGTCTCCCGGCTGGTGACGGTGGTGAGACTAGACTCACGTTTCCTATTCCTCCCAGCACGGGTTGGTACAGGGGAAGGAGCCTCATCAGAAAAAAACTCTTGCTACGGTTCTGAGAACTCCTCGTCCAGTCTCACGCAGAATTCCAATCAGAGGAACCAGTACTTGAGCGAGGATGTCACTTCTTTGAGTCCGCTCCAAGACCAGAATGGAATGCTTGATGCTTGTAAAACAACATTGTTTATTGTATGCTCACATTCGTTCTGCCACAAAAGGCTCGCGATATGTCAATCACAAGTTACGCTCGACCACCGAGCAGATTTGAGACGTGGAGTTACCCTTGCTCGGAATCGAGCTGGACAGCTCCAATGTCGAAAGGAAGCTCGACTTCCACCACTTTCACCCGCGATCTCAATGATCCGCTCAAATTTCCTCGATCCGAGACTCCCATAGTCATTTTCGCACTGAGTTCCTATATATACAGGTTATATACACAGCTGGGTTCACACCTCTATCGAACCGTTGAGCCTCCTTTCCACAGAATATCATTCGTTTAAATAGTCAGTCGACCCTAATCGCTAAAATCTCGCTCTTTCACACGTAGCAATCTGTTCATTTTTTCGGATGAGAGCTTTGAGGTTCAAGATCCGAAAATGATTCATGGATCGGAAGAAGTTATCTGGAAGTCTTTCATTTTTGGTTTCGCTGTATAGAGATCACTTAACCTGGCGCAACTTCGGCATCAGTGATACTAGAAGCCCCGCTGCGATCATTCCGCGTTTTCATATTTTCTATGCCCAGCATAAAATCGCGTCACCTGCCTGTTTGGCTCGCTTGGGAGCTCGCTCCTACTCTGTGGTGACATGTCGCCTGGAGGTTTCCTCTGAAGCGGCGAATTCAGGAGCTCTCAAAGTCTGCCTCGAGGGGAATCTGTCGGCTACTACGGCTTCGAAGGTCATTTCTCTGAGCTCACTCCCAGTCACTTCGTTACTTAGTTAGTTGGACTTTCAGCCTTATCGAAATCGTGAATGAAGCTCGGGTTCCCCGGTCGAACCCGGACTCGATTGAGGGTGGAGTCGATACAACGGAGGAAATCAAACAACTCACAGAAAACAAGAGGAACGTAACAAAATATAACGCTTCCGTTAAAATCTCAAAACGCACTCAACAACCTTTCACCGATCCGGTGCACTCATCCGGGAACAATCTTTGAATGTAGCGTACAAAGGAACTGATAAGCTCTAAACGTCTCCCAAGGAGAAAATATATGACTTAGTGGCGCGCGCGATTCAAGCGCGGGCATTGCAACTTATCCATCCGTACTTAAGTTAATTTGTTTCGTTCTTTGAAAAAGAGTTCAATCGCAAATCTCAGAGGAATTCATCGAAAATAATCACTTCCGTTGATGGCTTAGTCTTGAGACAGTTTTCGACTACAGCCAGTATTTTGTGCACTCTCCGGTCTAGAGCTTCCAGGTGTCCATCGAGGAGTACCGGAGCGACGGCGTCATTTGACATGGATTTCCGCATGCGTTTGCTCAATCTACCACCAGGCTGGCTGACGAAACTGAGCAGGGAGCGCAGCGTGGATTGACGTATCATACAGCATTGGTAAACGGGCGCCAGGATCGACATTTCATCGTGCTTCGTTTTACCGAACCTGCGTCGGAAACATCATCTTAGAGACAAGCAGTGCTTCGTGACTAATGAGAAGTTGAGATACAACGCTTGATCATACGTATCCAATATTTTTCAACCGACAGCTTACCCTCGTCCGTGGTCCAAGTGAATGGGGGATGATTCGTTGCCGAAGAGCTTGAAACTCTCGTAATGGTGTCGATCCATATTCCCGGTGAGAAAGTCCAAGATGGCCATGTCCATGAGGTCCGCCAGCCGGCGTCCCTTGTTGTAGGGCGGTGTCTCCTTGATTAGTTCGCAGTAGTCGGGATCGATTTCCCATGCCGCCTTACGACGCCGGTTGTACGACCTGCAAACGAGAGAAGGAACGATCATGCATCGGTGCCGCAAGCCCGGGATCCAGAAGGACGGTTGACTCAACGTAGCCGTGAGATCCGTTCAATCGAACGATGCAAATTTGCCAATCAAGAACTGCGTATGCATGATCTATTTATACCTTCTCCATGGATGACGCCACGATGTTCGCGGTGCAATATCTGTTGAAGGCAAAAACGCTGCAAAGCTGCCCTCGAGGTCATCGGGATGGCCACAGATGGCATGCGAAGTATCACAGTAATAACTACAATGACCGCTGAAGCACAGGTTTTTCGCTGAAATCATTAAGAGGGAGGATAAGTCTCAAGCCGTTCAAGATACTGTCTCTACTGGATGCTGGCTCAGGAGAGAGTCGCACGAGTCGCCTAATGTCATATTGAACGCCAGATACCGCGATCGAATCTCCCGGCCATGGCGAGATTCCCCAATTTAGTGGCCGAGTAAATGAATATCGAATTTGCGTCGGGATAGAGGAGGATCGAGTCGAAATCGATCCCAAGGACACTGAGTGATCAGGTCGGACAAGAGAGCGAGCCGCACGTGATTCTGGATCTTCGGAGAGTAATGGCTGCCTCGGATCTCTCGCCAGGCTTTGCCTGGAATTTTTGGACTCCCCTCGGATAGCGCTGGCGGGAAGGGCTATGGGCTTCCGTGTCAGCTGATTGAATGATAGAATCCCCTAGGACGGACGCCCTCGTCACTCGAGTGCCCGCGGTCCCAGTAGAAAAGCTTTTGCTCCAGTTTCTCGGAAGATATGGATAATTCCGCACCGAGGATCGGGGAAAACTTCCTCGCGTTCCCTTCAGCACCATGGGTATGTAGAGGAAGGAATAAGTTCCCGGGGGCAAGTGTAGGCATTTTCCGATTCACGACTCGATAATGCTCTCCTACGTCCGGATATACTATGTACATATATGATACTCTGCTCGCACCCTACGGCCATGAGTCGAGCTGTGGGGATCTTCTTGGAGACCCCTCCATTGCCCATACGGAAAGGTTCCCCGAAGGAATGATTGGCAATCGCATGTCGAGCTCTAAAACTAGCAGATATCGGACTTGAGCGCGACACTCCACCCACGTCGCTCGCCAGAGGCACTCATAGGGAATCGAATCGATATCCAAAACTCCCTCCTATTATACTATCGCACGCCCGAATAAGTAATTGCATGAGATGAATAATAATCGACAAGTCAGACCAATTAGTTGGATTCTCCCCTAAAATAGCATCGTCTCGATAAACAATCTGAGCACAAAGATGGAGCTGGGTATCACAGCCTTATAATATAGGTGACGGTCAATCGACGGTGTAGAGGATCTGCGGCGGTGGAGAGAATCGCAATTTCCTCAGAAGGTCTCCGGTTTATCACAAGAAGGACCTCTCTTCTGTGGATGCCTCACTCACCGGGAGAAACGAAAAACGTCTTGGCCAGGTTCTGGTCAGCTAGCGCGTAGATTTCCGAAGTCATGTTCAAAGTTCGGCCAGCGACGGGCGGGGCGCGCCGGAATCCAAGTAATCTAGAGGAGAGAAATATTTCAATTATTCTCCTGGAGTTCGGAAATAAGGGGCGGATATCTGCTTTCCCCGGAAGGAAATCGTCGCATTGCTCCACGGGTGTTTGTGCCTTGACACGTCTTCCAGATAATTGGTAGTGACACGAGGAGAATAGAGCAGTTATGCGGGGAAGGTGGAGCGTGCATTTCGCTTCTACCGAGAACGTGGACGGATCTTGAATATGTTTCATGGACATGAACGCGCTCATTCCTCGGAGCCGGAGCTCATTCGTCGCGTTGTCCGCTGCCTCATTGCAACAATACTGTTTCCCGCAATTCCAATCATAATACTGTCCGTGTACCGCGTCCGCAAATTGGGATACCCTGTTGGACCTCCCCGACGCTGTCGTTCAGGATACGATAATCCAGCTAGTATCGAGCGACCACCGACTACCATAAAGAGCACGAACAACACTCAGTCAGTATGGTAAGCGCTTCTGTGTTTACCATGGTTGCGGCTTGCAAATAACTCATTCTTTTTTACGTCGTTATCACGAGTACGCGCGTCACGGACGATTGCTCCACTTGGATGATGAGGACGAATGCACCCGTTTATAAAAGATTGGAGGTGATATTGTTCTCGATTCGGAGAAGACAGGAAAACTCCCGGAGAAATGAATATCGACTGCCTCCTAGTTGAGGGATACCAATCGTCTGCTCCAATAATCTCTTATTCTTCCGCTCAATTCATTCTAAGTTTTGTGGGATCCGAACTCCCACTGAATTTTCCGGAGCGACGAGCCCGGTTTCGCCTAGTCGACATTATGTCCCAAATTAATCGGTAGGAATTCCCGATTCGGTTCTTCCAAAACACTGTGTGAGTATGTCTGTTCTCAAAGAATGAATGATTACAGCGTCTAGGTAAGTCATCACGCCTGGGTCGCTCGTTCGACTCCGTCTCAATAGGCTCCGGTGCGAATATACCTGATGATTGTTCTCGGGCTTCCCCCGATCGAACCAGCAATGTCCCGAGGTCGGCGGAGCATTCACAAAAAGCACGAAACCTGAATATTGTGTGCTATCGTGGAAGCTCGTAAGGTTTCTTACCTATCGAGGTGGTAAGTGGCGATTTCAGCATTGTGCCTCTCGTAGTCGACGAAGTAGAAATGATTGGGTTCCGTCTCTTTGTCGCGCGGAAACCTATGGAGCGGAATGAAATCTCATCATTGCGCATCTAGCACACTCTTCCATCTCCAGCCATGAAAGTCCTTCCTGACAGAAGCCCGCTCCGTCCTTTGAGTGATCCAATCTGATTGATCCATTGATCGATTCAATCTCCGAACAAACGAAAGAACACGTCGAGCAACACGCTTAGCTCCACGAACGCAGGCTAAGCGTCGAGATGCTGATGATTTCGAGGAACGAGAGTCGTAGAACGGAGAAGGCTGTCCGCGGAACTCGCTCGCCCTTGCGGTGTCGGGCCAGGAAGATCGACTGTCCGTCGTGGATAGACAGAGGCGACGACGGTTCCAAATTGTATCGCACTAACCTCATAGGCTTGAAGAGTGCCTGTCCGCCATTATCGTAGTCAATTATGAGTTTGAGTTGCGTTCCGCCCTCTTTCTGGACCACGCGAACTATCTCAAGTCTCGCCATGTCTCGAACAAGATCATCGACGAGCGTTGAGTCTTTCGCGTAGAGCTCGTCCTGAGAAATCGCCGCATGGAAGCGCTCGAATGAAGTCAGGTTCCTGCGCGCGGGAAGAGAGAGAGAAAATTAGGGTTAGTGAGGATCATCCGCCGAGTCGTTCTGTTTCGCAACAAAAGTTCATATCGTTGCTATCGGCAAGTGAGCGCGGAATCGCCAGGATATCCTCCAATCGTGGTCGTGGTAGAAGATTCCGATGGATGATCCCAAAGTGCTCTGCGCCGCGGAACGACCGAGTCAGAGCTATCGTTGGGAATGCAAGTTTGCGTGCCCGAAATAAACTGAACACAATCTGACAAAGCCTCGGGGTCAGGCATTCCGTTGTCTCGGATTGCATCCATCACGGCCTTCGGGGAGTCTGGCGTCACGTAGGTAGTGTCTCGCGAAAAATTCGACCTGTCTCCGTCGCGGAGGAGCAGAGCAAACAAACATATTGCTCGCGAATGAGCGAAATTCCTGCAGCACGTTCCGTGAATTCCGTACATCCTCCCCAGATGCATCCCTGTCGAGCCACTCAGACCGTATTGAACGAATCCTTCTCACGATGCCATCGCTGCGCCGGGTCAAGTCATTCGAACAACATGAAGGGAGCTGAGCCCTAGGGCTCCCGTGCAGGAATTCCACTTCATTCGAGAGTATAAGGATGAATCGCAAGCTTCTCCACTCGGATCCGCTCTTCCAGTCTCAGGCGTTTTCTGTGTCAACACAGAGGGAACGAGCGAACTACTTGAATACGGACGGGGCTCTGGCCGAACGCGGAGGACGAGAACTGAATTCCTCCTATACTCAAGTATCGTAGCAAAGCAACTCCGAAGCGCCGGACCGAGACCCCAATTCTTTCACGTTCTGCCCGAGTCCTCCATCAACCTTGAATGTCACTCGCTCCGCTCACGGACTCGGGATGCCTCCTGCGGCTACACCCCGACCTCCTCCTCCTCCTCCTCCGAATCCTTTTCTTCCTATTCGAGGCGCCGACAGGTATACGTGACGGTAGTGCCAATGTGCGTCTTACGAGCCTTCAGCTCCTTTTATTCTCAGCGACGGCGGCAGCAGCGGCGTCCCAACATCTCCATAACGGTCCAGTGGATCTCTGCGGTCGCTCGTAGATTTCGTTGCCACTGGTGTTGTCGCAGCCGGAACTCCGGCGCGGGACGACGCGACGGCTGCGACTGTTATCGCTACCTTGTCGTACGGCGCCGAGCTATTCTTCTTCCCTCTTTGTGCCAACCGCAGAGCGCAGTGGGCGGACGGATCGAGGGGACCAAAGGAGTTCGCTCACTCGTGCACCCATGGGGCTTTCCCTCCCAGTGGAGATTTCGATTTTGGTGGGCTCGCTCATTCAATCGCGACCGCGGAGCAAGCGAGCTCCCAACCCTTGATTTGGGCTGGTCTAAGCTAGCGTTTATCGTTTTGACATGAAATCATTGAATGTGAATCTCACCCGTCGAACTCAACGTTGTTCAGATCCATCACGGTCGGATTCGATGTGGTCTTCTTGATCCAACGCTTGAGGCCCGTTTTGTCCGGAATGTCGTCTATCGCTTGTCGATTGTCGATGATGAGCTGAAGCTTCTTGAAACTCTCCTTCATTTCTGTGGTTATCTGGAAACAGACGGAATCGGAGCTGAAATTTCCGCTCCAGACGAGAGGGAGGAGCCTCTCGCGTCCACAAGTGAGCTCTGCCAGCTTCGGTCAAAACCTTTTCCTCTTACCTTGGGAATTTTCAACTTTGGTTTCTTTGATGTGGTCATCGTGAGCTCATCTTTCTTCTTTCGTTTCGCTGTCGGACTTCCCGCGAGTCTTCTCCCGCCCGACTTCGGAGGTTCCTGACCCGACCCCGTGGGCTCTGGGTACAGCTGACTCGCATCGGCCGGAAAGCGATAGGCCATAGGTGATATGATCGGTAAACCCCCGCTCGGACTGGAATTCAGAATGGATCCGAGATTAGACCACGATCGATTCAATTGAGTATCCACGCAGCGGAGCCTCGAGTTGGGCTGCGAGCGCAGAAGAGAAGCTGGAGCTCTGCTCGACTTTGGAGGTTTTTCGACTCCAATGCAAGGATCTGTCCAGTGTAGCCTTCCCGGAGAGTTTCGTTCCGAGCGCCGGTACGTTCAGCGGACGAAGGCGCAGCGGCTTTCGGTCGCACCCCTCGACTGGGTCGAGTGGGCTGACCCGATGCCCGTGTAGATGTGTTCGCTTTCGTTTGCCCAACGGTGATTACTAGACATTAGCAGCAGCAGCAGCTTCGAAGCTTTTCTGATTCCCGTTCGCCTCGCTATCTCTCGATGGCTGCCGCAGCTGGTTCGCCAGTCAAAAGTTTACGACTCGTGCTCGGCGATGAAACTTCGGGAGAGAGCGGGGGAACGAAGTCGTTCAGAAACTTCCTAGATTACCAGAACGGTGGGACAGCGCTCCTCGCAGTGGACCTCGGCATTCCTCGATTTCTGATTCGCGCCCTCCCTCGGCGGGGGATGTTTGCTTTCGGTAGAGGAGGAAGCAGGTGCATTTTTCCTGTCGATTCCTGGGTCATGAGGACAATGAATCACGACGAGTGACTCCCGGATGTCCCTTCGGAGCCCGGAATCGAGACTCCCCCCAAATCGGAGCCGGATCCGTCGTCGGCGACAAACACCGTCTGAGGTCATCGACGGAGGAGCTTTTTTTGGAATCGTCAGAATTCCAGAGAGTGCATCCCGATTTTCGCAAGCTGATTTTGTTGCTCGGTGCAGAATCATTAGGTAGACAACTCCTGCAGGCGAAACCAAAAAATGCACTGTCGATTCCAGGCGCAAACCCCGAACCGCCTGCCGCTTTTGCAACCGAATCGGGAGTTCTTCTTCATGTCAGGATTCGGAATTCGTAAATTAGTCGAGAGGAACAGACAGGACTCGGCGGGATATCGGGTACAGAAACCGCTCCCGGGCTGAACTAATGTTTCGGAGGATACAATCTATCGAGAACGTTCGCAGGGGAGAGCAACAAAAAGATTGACGTCCTTTCCCTGACATCGATATCGCAGGGATCTTTGACCGTATTCCCCCTTTGTCAAAGCTCCGCAACAAGATCTGCCGCCGACCGGTACCTAGAGCAAGACCGTTCTGCTGACGCAAGACCTTTCGCGGTGACCGGAGAGATCGAGCCATCCTGCGATGACCGGCCCAAAGTTTTTATGCGACCGAGAAGACCTCATCCCTTGTGATTGTATTGATCCATCCGGGGAAAGCGGCCGCTGCTGTCTGGCAGTCGTTGGAAGCAGCGCGGCGGCTCGGCCGTCGGGATTTTCTCACTGATCGAAATGAGAGAAAGCATTTAGACGAACTCACCTAATTTTGGTCTGCACCATGAAGAGGAAGACGAGCATGACGAGGCAGAACAGTATTGTGGTGGTGGTCAGCCGTTGGCGAAATTTCGAAGTTCTGCAGCGACATCCGCAGGTGGACGCATCTGTAGCTGCCTCGAATATCCGGCCGAAACCGGAAGCATTTCGGGACTTCTGGTTAGGCACAGGAGGCATCTCCAAGGGAACATTGATCTTGTACGACATGATCGTTCTCCTTAAGTGAAACACTTAAGGCTTCCTGGAATCAATAAAGAATGGAAATCTTAGGACATCCGCGTCACTTCTCTCTCCGGTCAGGCATCAGATTCGAATGTGGGAGCGAAAATTCAGCTGCCTCGTCTAGAACGATCCTTGAGAGAAGACCGATCCCGCCAATATTGAGCCGCTCCGACAAAAAGCTGCGACATATGTGATCCGCGCATGTGGATGCAAAAACAGTGTTTTGAAGATGGTTGGGTTCCTGAATCACACTTGAAGTGTTTCCCTCTCAGTCTTTCAGGTTAGTCCGCTGTTCATTATTTTGAATCAAGGCAGAGGGACCTCCGTCTCATAAGGCTTCATAGTTGCTCTTGGTTGCCGTCCCTAGTTGCGAAACCCTCCGGTAGTTCACTCCTGCCGTATGCCGTGTCCAGAATCGCGGAGGGCGCCCAGCAGCCTTGTTTCTTGTGATCTGCAACAGGCTGAGAATCTTCTCGAGGAGTTTTTTAGGAGAGCTCGGAGTACAGCTCCCGCTGGAGACCTCTCTGTGAATAAGCTCCGGCTTGGAATCTCCTCCGACATCCCCACTGCATCGGCTCCGAGGCGAATTGAGAATTCCGCGGAACGAATCCTGCTCCGGGAGAATTACTATTTTGCTTCGCCTAAAAACTATCCAGCGTCACGGACCGTACGAGCCGCTGTCGAGTCGATCGAAGGGCCGAGGGCAAAGAGACCAGGCAGAGAGGCGGGTTTAAGCGAGCAATCAGACCGTTCTCGGAGTCGGATCCGTCTGTTTGCCCCGGCACATGACAGCGCAAATGCTCAGGGTTATTGGAGTCCGCAATCAGCTCTGCACTTACTTCCTCTTCGGGCCGCTCCCACCCTGTTGTTTACAGGCGATGCAGCGGAGTCCATGTCTCACTCAGCTGCCGGAGTTTGACTCGGACCTCGAACCGTAGCGGCTCAGGACAGCCGAAAAAAAAAAACTCCCGAGCTCACTCCAAGCTGCTCGACCACGCTCATCGGTCGCATCGAGTTTTATATTTTCGGTCAACAGAGTTTCTCATTGCCCTTCACGACTAGGAGCATCGAGTTCTAAGACCCTCGACATCTCCTTTCTTGCGCAGCTCGCGAGAGCGGCACTGGAACTTGTTCCGTCTCCACCGCGGGCCGTAGGAATCGTTTGAAGCTCTTGCGCTTTTCTTCGACGTCTTCCGAGGAGCCTCGAACGGCTTTTTTTCGATTGGTGTCCGGAAGGTCCGCGTTGCTCGGACGCATTTGATTTTCTGCAGTTTTTGAGTGGTTGGCGCACTTCAGAAAGTTCGGGCGAAATAGGTTCGGGAGCAGCATACGCGGTTTCTCCGCGTGATAGAGGCGAAGCGGACGAGCGAGTTTGACGATCCAATACCTTGACGCGCTTGGAGGGCGGAAAAAAGAAACGCGCACACCTCAACTCAGGGACTGTATGTGGGAGAGTTGTGTCGGGAAACGGGACGAGGAGGAGCATATGAACCTTCGATGACTACTAAAACAGGCGCGATCGGAAATAGGCTTTGGGAGCTGGAAGATTTTCCTCGCGCAACGAGAGAGCGTTCGGCAGCAGCAGCTTTCGCGCCTGGAATTCCTCGATGTCGGCCGACCTCGGCGAATAATGCATTTATGCAGAACATGTGGAACAAGATGAAGGCTGGTATTCTCTGTCGGACGGGGACCGAAATGTCCGACATGCCGCTACCTCATCGTTCCGCGACGGCTGAACGGTTTCAAGTTTACGAGCTCTGCACCTAAACGCCGCGCAAAGAAGGAACGGAACAACGAATCCGCTTTACCATCGAGAGATGGGGAACGAGCGTCGGTATGCAAAGCGTTTGTTGCGGCGGGAACGAATCCGAATTCTCTTCGTCTACGACAGAATGAACCTGGAAGTGTTGCGACGAGGAACACAATGCATTTGATCATCCGAGCCGAGTCGGTGTGGGAAGATCTTTTCCCCCGGGAGCCTGAACGTCCCGATCGGTGCTTCGTTTTCCCGATCGCTCATGAGCTCATGACCCTCTGAGAGCAGAAGTGGAGTTTCCCTCACCGTGTCCGGAGCGCGGAGCCGGAACAACTGGGGTGTTCCTCTATTTCTTTCCCTCTGAACTCATATGCGCGTCAGAGAGCTCTCATGCGGGCCTCACAGTCGCTCCTCCAGCGGTCATTAGTCGTCATGCCATCGCCGGCGGAAGTTTTTAAGCTGTCGTCATCGGCAGAATCCTCTTACAATGCTACTACTAGTCTCTACCATTCTCGTTCGCTGCCTGCTGACTCAGGAGTTCATTACATCGCTCTGCCCCCTCGCTCTCCGCTCGACGAAGCGGTCGCCAGCGCTCCTCTGCTGTTGATCGTCGCTATTCCTCTCTTCGTTGGACCGTTTCCTTTTCCCGTGTTTTCCTCGATTTTCGAAATCTATCTCTGCCACCTTCGTTCCCTCTCTCCGGCGAGTCCTGAGCTAGACCCAAGCCCATTGTTGAGAGCACAAGGGGATACAGGTCCGGAACAGGCTCACTCAGATCTGGAGATAAAAAACTCCAGAGCAAGCAGATTTTTCAAAGCAAAGTCCGCACTTTCTGCTGGCCCTCCTACAGATTTGGCTCGTCCGCAGATTTACTCGCTGCTATTGCTTCCGTCCGCGAAATCCTCTCGTCTAATCCTCAGAGACGGTTCCTCTCTTTCTCCCGCTCAAAGTCCCCGATCCAGGATTCGCCACACGCCTTCCAGGAGCACTTCGGTATCGACGGTTCAAACTAACAGACTCTCCGGTTTCGGTGGAGCTTCTTCTCCATATCCACTGCGTCCCCTTGTGTCCTGACGCACTTTATGGGGCGAACTCACTCAGCTCCCTCGCGTGGAATGCGTTGCGAGAGACGGTCTCCGACGTCGCTTCGAAGCGGTTTCAGGTCCACGGCTACATCGAACCGCTCGATGTGCATCGACTCGGGGGTTTTGGTTGGATCGAGGGCTTGGGGGGTTCCCCGCTCGTTCTTCCTAGCCGCCAGGGTTTTTTCTTCCCATGAGCTCGGACCAGTCGACTCGTGTTTCCATACAAGCTCTGGCAGACACTTTTCAATGATTCCATCAGAAGGCGGCGGAACACAGCTGGGTTGACATTTTAGTCCCTGTGCAAGCCCTGGAAGCTCGCTCCCGCCCCGGGATTTAAGTCTAGGCAGGCGATGAAAATTGAGACTTACCCCTATCCATCTACGGTCTGCCACGTTTTGCGGCACGTCTCAACATCCTGCTAACAACTGCAGTTTCTGCAAGAGGGAAAATTCGAGTTAGTACGATTTCGTATTCAGAACGTTCGACCCCCCCCCCTGCTTTCCGAGGGATCGGACTCGGAAATCCCCCGGGCCTTTCCGACTTCGGCGGAAATTCGCTTGTACTGAAGGTCTCTCCAATAATTTCCCCGACGTCGTCTCATTCCCTGCGCCGATCGTCGTCACCGGCTCAGGAGATTCTCCCGAACAATGCTTTTCCACTGACTCGGAGTCTCGCTGGACTTTTTACGACGTCACAACCACACGGCACGGTTGTGCCTGGGTAGCTAACCATTCTACAGCTCTGCAGTTAGGCCACACCAAATCCTCCACTGGGATTTCTGTTCGCGGCGAAATTCTCTCATGCGACGATCGTCTCTGGGCGCACAGGCCCATCGTGTAGGGGGTAGCCGATCAGCAGCTTACGTCATCTCGACTTTGGGCTTCTGTTTGGGGATTGGAGATTGAACGCGTCCGCGCTCGAACCGGCTCCGAAATCTTCGATCGAGACGGGAGAAGTTTCGGACCGACTCAATGTAGCTAGTCCCAATTTGAACTTCAGGTAAACAGCAGGAAAAGATCCCAGATGGCGAGGGCGTTCACAAAGAATCTCCGCGATCGATTTTCGGCAAGTCTGCTAATATCGCGATATTACGTCACCAACGAAATGTCGTCCCCTGCGTATCGGAGGGTCTCTGCGTTCGATTCCCGTTGGTCTGAACATCGAGGCGCTCTTTTCCCCCGGTGGCTTCCGCTTCTTGACGAATTTCGAGCTTTGCTCGAGCAGAACAGCTATTCGTTTTTGATCTTGCGCATATGCCTTCTTCGAGGTTCAAATACCTAATCGAAACCGTGATCTGGTCGGAGTTTCCTCCCATGAATAGGTGACATCGATCACCCGCAGCTGACAAATCTCGAGCGATCCAATGCCAGCAGCTGTCGGAGCTGAACTGCCAACTGGACACTCATTCGATACGGCGGGCGTGAACTGGATTTGTTGGTCGGATCTCATGCGAATCGTTACTTTCACTGTCTACCCTCGCTGGCAGGCCCGCTCCCTACGTGTGTGGGTGGGCGTATGGGCGAGAGAGCGAGTGAGTGCGCAGTCCACTGCAGGCAATATCAAGTCACTGCACCAGGTCGCCGCCGTGTTCCAGCCTAACGAATCCACGATTTTATGAACGAAACCATTGAAAGCGACCAACTTGGGACCTATAGAGGCCAACGGATGAGTCGGACCCGCTGTATCAGTTTCCGATTCATAGTCGGCCGCCACTCTGTAACAGACGACGATTGAGTCCACAGGGATCGTGCAAACCGACAGCCCAGCCCACGTCTCTCTCTCTCTCTTGCTGCCTCGAAATGCGGCGAACCGTCCTCAGTCCAGCTTCTGCCGTGGGCTAGTCAGCTATTGCCTCTGTGGACAGGCTGTACGTGGAATGCGGATACCTAGCCTCGGAGCCCAGATCGCTGGCCGAGCCCGCTCCCGACCCTGACCCCGGGAGCTAGCAATCCAATCTTTGGAAGATTCTGAGCGTTGGTCATCCAAAAACTCTCGAATGGATGCTCTCCGATTAGAGCTCCGGTTGATATAGAGATCCGTTCCATGATTCGTGGGGGCAGCCCGATGCCATTAGAATCCCAGGAGGAAGCGGTTCTTTTTGCTTCACTGTCGTCTCGATTTGTCACGAACAACGAACCTACCTACAATCCTGCCGATTCCACGATCGCGAACGCGAAAGCGGCGGCCCGATGAGGCAAAGATTCGTATGCTATTCCTCCGAGAGTTTTTCTTTGCAATCGCTGAAAATATCAAAACAAACGTCGTCATCGACAAGCGCCTTCCAGCGTCAGCGATGCGAGTCGTGGAAGTATTTGCTTTCAAGCAGCAACGGTATCGGTCGGATTCCGGATGCGACAAAGAAATCTTCTCGGCGAAAGCGGTGTCACCGACTCGGAACTATCTGAACACTCGCGGAAGAATCTAAATACACTGAAAATCCGAGCAGTCCGTTCTCATTTCTGACACAGGACCCGAATCGGGAGGGAGCTCTCGGACTTCCGGATCAATCCGGGACAGAGTGAGCATTTGTCTCGGAAAACCAATCGCGAATCGCGGTGTTCCTAATCCCGATTCGGGAATCCGGCTCGGGCTAGGGAGTCGATCCTGACGATTTGCTCAAGATTCGTGAAACCAGATGAGAGCTGCAGAAAGATATTCCAAGATGTTTCGAGCTCACCCGGCCTGAACAGCTCCTCCAATTCTGTCGGGAAGAGTCGTTTGAGGCTCGGATTTGAGATAAGAGCTGATCACGGAGCAAGAGGAGGGCCTTTCGAATCGCTGACCCTCAGGATTTTGGAATGCTCTCATCCGTAATCCTCGGAAACTTAGTCAAGCGAAATTTTCTGATCTGATGCTCCCAAAGACGAATAGAGTCCCTCGCCGAGCTTTTCCCGTCTAGAAGACTCCGAGGACGGACTGTCGGACCCTTTCTCGTGGATCGGATTCCCTGACTGGGAGCCGGAAGAATCCGAGCGCCAGCACCGATGCGTCGTTTCTCCGACCGCAATCAACCATAAAGTGAGTACTCCGCCGATTGATCGAAAAGTCGGAGCGACGCATACTTCGCTGTCCGCGGGAGACAGCCGAATGTCTATCTTCTAGGAATTTCTCTTTTCTCTCCTCTTCGGTTCGCGGTTCCACCCCGGCAATAGTAAAACCTGGAGAGATGATACGACTGCGGTCAGGCCATGCTCAGTCATCGCCACGAAACGACGACTGCGGCTCACCGCTAGAGCCGGAAGGAACGAAACTTTGCGAAAAATCCGGTAAATAGTCGGACTTAGTTTGTGATCTCTTCGCCGACCTGGCAAGCAAGTACAAAGCGTTTCATCGATCTGACGACGTCGTGATCGAACTCTCGGCAGCTCCGTGGCTGACTGTGAACAGTACAAAACAGTTCCAAGCGCGCTCGACACTATTCCAGTGCCTGAGTTCAGTCAGGAGATCCTGTGGGGAGCGAGAAATCAGGAGCTGTCGGCGAACATCTCGTGATTTCGGAGTCGACTCCCGCGACCGGTGCGGCGGAACGCGGCCACTCTCCGATGCAGGAACCGAACTCCTGGTGGAGGAATTTCCGGGAGCCAGCGCCGCTCATCCCACATTCCAAACACTTCATAAAAGGAGAGACGGAGCGAGCGTGCAAGACATAGACGCTGTCGACATACGGTACTCGAGACCACGCTGATGGCTGTTTGTCGACACGCAATGTCGACCAGTTGCTCAGCGAGGATCGGTCGGTCAACAAGTTTACCGACAAATCTCCGCAGGTTGTCGCGGGCTATATTCACGGCTAATGCGACGTGTTTTGTTCACGTCATGAACGATCGACGCATGCCGTGTGAGCGGTCCTGGCTTCGAGATTCTTATGCTGAATACTTTAGCGGTCGAACGCCGCTTCCACTAGATGATTCTGCCGGGGTCGATGTTGATACTATCGACGGTCATTCGCCGCGGCCGAGATACCTTCGTTAAATTCGTACTTCAGACGGGAGGAGAGAAAGGATTCATCACAAATGCCAATGGATCAATTTAGAAGCAAATGAACACATCGGCACGTGGATCGACGTCGACAGTTGAATAGATGAGCAAACAACTCACGCTCACTTGCCGACCCGGCCCGCTTACCGCACAGACGCAACCGACAGCGGATGGTGCCGTCCTCGAGAATATCAGCAGCGCTTGTGATAGTTCAAGAGGTTATCCACTCTGATTCGAAGGCCTCACGACCGTAGGGTTCTAATAAGGACATCGACCGGAACCCTCTGAGCCTTCGGTCATGAGAGGACAGCGCACCCAGCGAATTATGATTTCCGCAGGATAGGCGAAAACACCCCCCAAGAATGAATGTCGATCTCTATCTACTTTTCGTCTCGAGCGCCGCTTCTTCGGCCGAATCCTCCGAGATCTGAGTTCGTGACCATAGAAGACAATGAGTAGGTCGGAACTCTGTCAAGTCTGCAGAGCATTCCAGGAGCACGCGTGAGACACGCAGAGATCCCGCGAGATTTCCGCGAGAAACCCCCCGCATTTCGCGAACATTCCCAGTGTGGTCTTAGCAGGGTATCGTCCGGGACATCGGAGTCGTCTGGACACGGGTTCCGGTCTCGCTCGGCACTTTTTCATCCGTGGGCGAAAACCCACGGCTCCACGTTGTGGAGCCGAATGAATGGGTGCTTATCGCTGCTGTAGTCGGAGACTACGTACTACTTTCGTTACCGATAGCCAGTTCGGCTCAGTCCGCTCTTGTTTTCCTGACAGCGAACGAGCGAGCGACGGTATACGAATCCAGCGTCGGGTTCAACGGAGCCGGTACGTCAAACGACCGGCCCACGGGCCAATCATCCCATAGCGACCGGTCAAGTTCGTGAGTGACCTCCTGATTCATTGTGTTCGGAACGGAGCCATTAATTCTGCTTTATGGCACGGATGGATCCGGAGCGTGACAAACTTCAACAGAATGAAATTGCCATAACGCTATGATTAAAACACACCGCTTGTCCGATACGCTCCGAGCGTCCATCCGATATGTACTGGGGGAGTGCGAAGCCGCCTACGAGTCCGAAGTCTCCGGAAATCCTTCCAACACACTGTCTCGGTACCGGCCCGTCCGTGCCTACAGACTACGTCGCCGGCCGGAACTCGGACCAGCCGGAGATTACCTATACTCGCTCTCTATCATCACTGACATCCGTAGCGGCGGCGGCGCCCGTAATTAGATTTAGAGCTGAGCTTGTGACCGTTGTCGGTCGTTCATGCTGTTTGCGCGACCCTACCGGAACGGGAATAAATCTGTTCGTTCGGATATCTCGATTCGCTCGAACCCCGTCTTCCCAGAAAACGGAATCCGCTATCTTGCACTAGTCCACGGCTAAATTCGCCGGCGTTTTTGCCGTTCGCGTCTCTTCTCCGTCCCTCCTTCACTCCGCAGAAGAAG